GCTGTTAAGTCAGCTTCCGTCAATGACGAGGACTTAGCTATCCAGGGCTTTTCTACACCGCCAGCACCAGCTTACGCTTACAGCCCGCCCGGAGAGCAAAGAGCCAGCAGCAGCAACTTCAAGCAACAAACCAGAGGCAGCGAGTCTGATCGCTGAGGAAAGCGGTGATGGCGGGTCTCCAGTTTCGCTGCCACCGGAGCCGCTTATCGAGTCTGGGAGCAACCCCTGCACCTCAACGCCTCCACTCCCAGGGGATCCTGCACTGTGGGGGGCCGTTACGGAGCGGCTCCGGCAAGAAGCGATTCACCGAGGGCTTGCAGCTTTCCAGAACCGGGCCGCCAAGTATCCTGCATCGGTAAGGGAGTCCGGACTTGGGAGTAGAACACGCTCCCTCACCAATGATTTGCTTCACTGCCGGCTTCCAAACAATCAAATTGTGCCAAGAGAATGGCTTCTTTACTCGCCATCAATTGGATCAGTTTATTGTTATGCCTGCAAACTTCTGTCATCCCAAAAGCATGCATTCATCAGCGGATTCTGTGATTGGAAACACCCAGAAAGGGTTAGTGATCATGAAAAGAGTCCAGAAAATAGACAAAACATGCTGTCTTTATTGCACAGATCTAAATATGCATGCAGAGTGGACGCTTCTCTTGCCCGACAGTGTGAGTCAGAACAGCAGTACTGGAAGGAAGTCCTCAGACGTGTGGTGGCTGTTGTCAAATTTTTGGGAGCGAGGGGAATGCCATTTCGAGGCGACAATGAACTGCTGGGCTCTGCGCACAATGGGAACTATCTGGGACCGCTTGAACTTTTAGCAGAGTTTTACCCCTTTTTAAAGGAGCACCTTGAGAGACATGGCAATAAGGGTAGAGGTAAGCCATCTTACTTGTCATCAACTGTGTGTGAAGAATTTATTTCATTAATGGGTGAAAAACCTAAGCAAGTGATTGCAGAGGAACTCAAACGTGCAAAATATTTCTCTGTAATCATTGATTCAACACAAGATTTAGCACATGTAGATCAGCTCACATCTGTTTTTCGTTTTGTCAGTGCAGATAGCAGAGTAGTGGAAAGATTCCTCGGGTTTGAGCCCATCCACAGCCACACAGGTGCAAGCCTAGCTGAATCTGTGATTGAAATGGTGCGTCATTTAGATAGATAGTCAGTTAGACTTGTCAAACTGTCGTGGCCAAAGCTACGATAATGCTAGCAACATGGCTGGCAAATACAGCGGGCTCCAGGCGCATTTGAAAAAAGAAAACCCGCTAATTCATTATACACCGTGTGCTGCCCATTCCCTGAACCTCGTAGGTGTTAACTGCGTTGATAATTGCTGTGAGGAGGTTAACTCTTTTTTTGAACTGCTGCAGTTTCTGTATAGATTTTGTAGTGCATCAACACATCGCTGGAATAGTTTTCAATGACAGCGAACATAACATTAAATACACTTTTAAATCCCTCAGCACCACCCGATGGAACTGCAGAGCAGACTCCACAAAAGCTCTCAAAGTAAATTACAGGTCAATTAGAGATATATTAGCCAAAATATCTTTAGACTGTGATGAGAAAACACAAACTAAACTCGAAGCTGCTGCATTGGTTTCAAAACTTGATAAACTGGAGACGGTAATAATGACTATGTTGTGGGACCGGGTACTGCATAGGTTTAAGGCAACAAGTGACCAAATCCAAAAAAGTGACATGGATTTAGCTACTGCTCTTGGCCTTTTGCGCTCACTTCTTTCATATGTCTTCAATCTACGAGAACAGGTTTCAGAGCTGGAAGAGTCAGCACACGCAGTCAGTGTGACACAAAACTGCCAGTTCGACACTCAACGTGTGAGAAAAAGAAAGATTTGCAGATGAGTCTGCTGATGACAGCGAAGTAGCTTTTAATGACAGCAGTCAGAAATTTAAAGTTGAAACATATTACGTCATTATCGACAGACTTTATTCATGCTTATCCAAACGCATAGAAGCCTACACACGTGTGTGAACTCTTTGGGGTTTTATTTGAGAGGGACTGTGATGATTGTGATGTGCGTGTAAGAGCTGCTACGCTGAGCTTGACTTATCCAACAGATCTGGATAGTTCCTTGTCAGATGAACTTATTCAGTTCAAGCACTTTGTACAGCTGCTGCAAGCTCTTGACAGACATGGACTTAAGACAACATTTCCGAATGTTTATGTTGCACTAAGATTGTTTTTAACCTTACCTGTGTCTAACTGTGAGGACGAGAGGTCATTTTCTGTTTTGAAACGGGTAAAAAATGAGCTGAGGACCACAGTGTCACAGACTCGGCTCTCTGCACTTTCTCTCTAAGCCATTGAACATGAACTTGTTGGTGGCCTTGATTTTGAAGATATTGTACACCAGTTTGCACTGTCAAAGTCCAGAAAAAAAGCCAGCATAAGATGCCAAATGAAAGCAAACATGCACTTCCTGATTATTTTGGATAAAAATTGTGTTTTGCCAGGTTTTGTAGTATTTTTATCTTGTCTTCTACAGAGAAATTGTGTTACAGACGCAGCTCTGCACTTACTGTTGTAGCTATTGGACATGAACGTGTTGGTGGCTTTGATTTTGAAGACGTTATACACCAGTTTGTACAAAGTCCAGATGTCTAAATGTTTGTGTAGCACTAAAATGTTTAACTGGTTATTTGTGCTGTGACATGTTGCTTTATTTTAAAACAAGTTAAAATGAGCTTAGGATCAAAATGTTAATGAGCAGATAATAGTGATGCTGCATTTTGTTTATTTTTTCCTTGAGGTGCGAGCTTTATGAAAATGGTGAAAATTGTTGTGGAAGGATAACTGGCAGATTTAAATAGTTTGTTTTGGACTAATAACTTGATTGCCTTGTTGATTTCTGAGGTGACAGGGTCACCATGTCAGTGTGATTTCTGCTTAAAATGAGCTGAGGACCAAAATGTTTCTTGATGTGTTCTCTGTGGTCTTCTGTGACAGCTCTATCAATTCAATACATTTCTATTGGGAATAAGTGTTATTCCCAATAGAAATGATAGCAATAAGTGATGGTTTCAAAGTGGTTGCTTATTTATTCATTTTGACCCAATGTGATGGGTCAATTTTACCAGATTATACAGATGCTGATGTGTTTTGTTTTCATTGCATCGTATGTGAGTGGGTATCTTTGATAGGGCACATAGTGGTGCATTTGTAGTTCTATGAGCATTTAAATATTTGTAAATCAAAATACACCTGCTGATGACAGTTAGACTTTCGAGTATTGAGTATATTTATTGCATATTACAGTAAAATATTCTGCATGTGACCATATTATGGTGATTCTTGGGTCGAGATGATGGGGCCCTTGAATATTGTTGCCCAGGGTACAACAAAGTCTTAATCTGGCCCTGCCTCCATCCACGCCTGGATCCTCCTGCAGCAGATCCAGCTGCACTGTTAAAGACTTCCTGCTCACTCAGTTTAAATAAATGATCCAGGAAGAGTCACTCAGGTTAATCCTGCTTTAACCGTACAAAACTGGTCCATACTGGTTTTGATCTGTAAATAAGTGTAGCGTATTATAAATAATCTTGTCTCCTTACCATCTTTTCATGTTCTGTTCATGTAACATGTTCAAAAACATCTGTAATAATAAAATTGGTGATAAAATCTATGTCCAGAAAGAGTTATCAGTTAGTATTTGTTTTAATAAATGTGTTCAAGTATCAAACAGCTAAATAACATGATGACAGTAGAAGGCCTCTCTCCCAGGAGGACCACCAGGTAAATCCTCTCCTGACCCTGGACACCTGCAGTCCTACAGAGAAAATCAGACCGCAGGTGACAAAAAGGCAAACACATTTTTACATTTATCCACATGAGAAGATAAAACATTTATTCTTCACACAAACACTTTTTACTTCATTAAAACGTGTAAGCTGTAAATCCCTGAATGTAAAACTACTTTTCACAGAAGAACTTCTGTGGCTGTGTGTGTAAACAGCTTCACTCTTCACCTCTAAGCTTAATAAAAACGCTTCTTTGCTCCGTTGTCCTTAAAACAAATGACAAGTTTAATTCGCTACACACACACACACACACACACACACACACCAACGGGAATAACTGGGACCCGCGATACAAACTCGTTCTGGCTGATTTCTGCCTAAAATGTAATTAAAAAAACAAATATACAAACGAAAAATGTCTATAAACTGAACCGCTTTAAGCTTTATAGGTTTCTACGGCTAGTTTTTTAACAAACTTACATTTAAAACTTCGTAGCTCTCCCCATTTTCTCTTCCTGTTGAAAATCCACAGCCGGCGCAAAAGCATGCTGGGATAGCCTTGTTCTGTGAGGATACAACAGACCCGTCCTCGAAATGTGGGTGCAGCAAGCCCGCATTTGAGGACGCGAGAATGAGTATTCTTGGAATTCGGACAGTACTTGTCGCTGCGCTGTGACGTCATCGACCTCAAAACGCACTCTTACAAGCATCCTTCCCGTGGATTCGGACACACCCATTATCTTATTTACGATGAACACCATCTTAAAAAACCCTCCCGCCCACTGCATTCCACGGTGGAGACCATGGACAGCTCCTTCAGAGGCAGACTGAGACATCTCAGATGTAAAACTGAACGCTGCCGTAGGTCATTCATCCCCTCTGCAGTAAGAGTGTAAAACTCCTCAGTCTAAGCTGTACTGGCATTATCCTGTTGCACAAAAACACCAATGCAATGTTCATTCTGTGTTTAATACTCGTTCAATACCAGATTTACATAGTATGTCCTTGTCTCTTGCAGTATGCTGCATAGTGTTGGAACCCAAGTTTTTCTTTTTTATTTGTGGTTTTTAGAGGTCGAAGGTTAAACATCTAGACTACTGCCTATGTGTACATACATGTACCTTTGTTAATATTTTTCTATAAATCAGTCTCTTAAGTGTTGGTGCATCTGTAACAAGTGAATTACCCCACTGTAGGATCAATAACATCTATTCTATTCTTATTAGTTACAAAATCTGATGCATTTATGCCCCAAGACTAAACAAAAGCCACGACAAGGGTGAAAAGGCAGCAAAGAAGTTTTTTTCTCTTGCCACCCATCTCATTATGTAATCTTGGATTACAGGCACGCACCACCGCACCCGGTGAGGACCCGACGGCCAGACAGGAGATTTAACTGTTAGATGATGTCACCAAGAGTTGCAGGAAACACTGATTACTGATCATCAGTACTTAGTCACTGCTGCTGAGTTTCTTTGTGTTTTGTTTTTTCATTAGTAACTAAAACACACAGAACCTGAAAAATGTTTAATCAAATTTTAAAAATAGGAAAAGTTGGGTATTAACGCAGGATTGGAAAGTTTAAGACAAATCTTCAGCTGATTGTTTTAATTTCTGTTTTAATTTAGATGTTAAAGCATTGAGCTCAATGCTCCTACTCAGAAGACTCACAGGTGATTTAAATGTTACCTGATGATACATCAGTCTTTTCTATGACTCTTGGTAACATCATCTAACAGTTACATCTCCTGTCTGGTCCTCAGATCCACACCGGGTGCGGTGGCGCGTGCCTGTAATCCAAGCTACTGGGAGGTTGAGGCTGGAGGATCGTTTGAGCTCAGGAGTTCTGGACTGCTGTGGACTATGCTGATCAGGTGTCTGCACAGTGGCGGCTGGTGAAAAATATTTTTGGTGGGGCTGTGCTATTTTTTTATTTTTAAACAAACTTGTGCTTTCTGAGCTTTGTGCACAACTTCACTATTTCCTGAATTAAGCACAGCTCTTTTATTTCCTGTCTTACATCATTGGACAAACTGATTAATCCAGGTGTGTCTGACTATTGGCACGCTGCCTTGCAGACCAAGGTTGAAAAATACTGCATTAAATTGCACATAAAATAACACGACCATAAATGGTAAATAGGCAATGCAAGAGGCAAGTAACAAAAACATTTTGTTTAATTTCAACATTTGAGTGAACACCAAACATTATGAGCAGGTCACTGTTACAGTAATGGTAGTAAACACCACTTAGACAAAATGCCAGAAATTTACACTGTTAAATATTCTGGAGTGTTGTGCCAAGGTCAACTTTATACAAAGATCAAGTGGATGCATTTGTGTGTGTGTGTGTGATACCTCATTTGTACAGAAATTTTGCCCTTCTGTCCTTCTGAGTGGCAAAGCTCTCGATGAGCTTTTTATTGAAGTCAGGAATGTTTGTGACAAGCTTTTTTTTCCATGGAGAGCATGGCAAGAGCATTCAGCCCATCCTGTGTCATGGTGTTCCTCAAGGAAAGTCTTAATCCTCTTTAAAGTAGAAAAGCACCTTTCTGATTCGGCTGTGGTCATGGGTGTGGTGACAAGAATCTTCTTTTGCATGGCTCAGGATGGTGTGAAAAACCTGTCATATGATAAATAAAAAACAACAGATAAGTACATAGGAAACACTTTTATAAGAAATAATGTCAATAGTATCCTCTTACAAATGTCATATTTCCCAGTTTCTGGGACAACAAAACATTTCTGATTCTCAATCAGATGTTTTTACATTTGAGGTAAAAACATCTAATTGAGAATCAGAAATGTTTAATTGTCCCAAAAGCTGGGAAATTTGTTTGCTGCAGCAGAAGTGTAACAAGTAAAATGGAATCAGATTGATGTATGTACAAATTTACATGAAATACACATTTACGTGATTAAATATGTATAATAAGTATGTGTGTTGAAATTAGTTTTTACAGTTATTGCACATTAAACATGTTATTAAACAAATGTCCCGGTTTGTGGGACAACCAAGGATTTCTGATTCTCATTATCTTGTTCACAGAAATGTAATGTACAGCTTACCTCTGCACCCAGCTGCTGCTGTTCCCTGCATGGCAACGTTAGCTCTGCTGCCTAGCATGGCTAGCTTCACCGTGTTGTTGTCCATGTGTGCCCGGGATGACTCGTGTTTCTTCACCTTCTCAGAAAAATGTTTCATGTCTGTAACTCCTGACTCATCCATGCCTTATCTGTCCCAGCCGTTTTGAATAACAAAAACGGAAAGCAAAATAACGCATTAGCGTGATTGCATCCAGCTAGCCACTGCTTCCTGGTGTACCAATTTCGGGAGAAGCCTAGTGTGTACAGTTTACCTCTCTCCTTCTCCTGCTGGCTTATCTTTACGTCGGGCTGATCTGGTCCAAGCTCTTTGACATTAAGTTTTTCCACCATAGTTCTCCTCTCGAACGGATACTGGAGGAGACCGAACTGAATTCAGTGGCTGCTGAGATCCGGTATCCATGCTGGTTGTAGTCACCGGCGGCGTCCATGTTACATCTGCGTCATGACCAAAAACGACTCTGCCGAGTTCTACCGAACACCAACGAATCCTTTGGCGGTAGCTCCATCGCCCATCATGCTTCTGAAACGTTCTGAAACAACGTCGACGCTGATTGGATACATTCCCATTCCTACCCTTTGATATTCTTGTCAGCAATTGGACAGCTGGTCTCGTCCTGTTTGTTTGGGCGATTGAAAAACAGCACACAGCCTCCACCGCTCGGCAGAGACCAATATATATATATATATATATATATATATATATGATTTATTTTTGTTACAAAACACACAATTAACTTAGAATATGTGATTATTGTTAATTTTATTTATTTATTTTTTTAAATAAAAATGAAAAACACGGAAAAACTGGGAGGGCGGCGCCCTATCGCCCTCTACTGGCCAGCCGCCACTGTGTCTGCACTAAGTTTGGTATCGATATGGTGCTCCTGGGGGAGCCCGGGGCCACCAGGTTGACCAAGGAGGGGTGCACTGGCCCAGGTCGGAGACGGAGCAGGTCAAAGCCCCCGTGCCGCTCAGTAGTGGGATCACACCTGAGAATAGATGCTGTAGTTCAGCCTGAGTAAAACAGTGAGACTCAGTCTTTTATTCTCATCACTAAACTATTGTCTCCGCACAGACACTCAGTAGGACATCTTTACACCTGATTCAGTCTGTCATTGTCGTTAAAACTCCTTCAGAAAGAAGCTGCTCTACGTGTCCTACAGCGCCTCCATCTGGACAACAGCTGAATCTACACCAGCCTCTCAGTCCTGCTGCTGCACATGGAAGGTTTAAACCTTGGGAAAATGTATAGTTTTTACCGTTAATCTCTGGAAATATCCATTAAAATGTTGTTGAAAATGAATTAAATGATGACCAGTTGTTGAAAAATATTGGCTGCTTCTTAACATAAAACCATAAAACTCTGGTCTAAAATATATGGAGCAGGTCTAAGGGTGTTTCTCAATGTCAAGGAACCTTTCCTTGATGTCTTGGCCTCGACCCGGTTGCCTATAGGAGATACGTCAACAGGAGCCGCCAAGACGTGTTCCAAACGGTTCCAATGTTCATGATCTACAGAGGCATGTGTTCGTTTGTTAGCCGTTTAGCTAGCTGAGCAAGGATGCTTGGGAGGTGTCTTGTAGCCTAGCCTTGGTCAAAAATTACCCACAATACACCGCAGTATTTTCAAAAAGACAGCAGATCAGAAGCCGGCAGCTACTTCTGGGACAATTTTCAAGTTTAAAAGTCAACTAATTTAAAATGTTTTATTTTTAGACCCAAATAAGTTATCTATTGTTGGTTAGTTGCTTAGTAGTTGCCGCTTCGGTGGCTAGCGGGTAGTAACTAGCTTATGTTTTTACACCATGGAAGCCGCAGTCACGTGATGCAAGTCAGTTCCATTTATCCGTTTTCTTTGACCAAGGAAGGACAGTGTCCTTGTAAGCAAGGTGCCTGGCCTCGCAAGACATCGCCTTGCAAAGCAAGGCGCCTTGATATTAAGAAACACCCTAAGTCTCTGGAAGACGCCATATTGGATGCCATGTTTCTTTCTACAGGAGCCCATGAGGACATAATGCATGACTAACTTGTGACAAATGGTTACAAAACATTCACCATTAATAAAAAAAAAAAAAAACAGTAAAAACGGTGAGAAACGCTGGCAGCGAAGGCCGTTAGCAATCAGGAAACGGCTGGCAGTGAATGAGTTAAAAAGCAAGTCATCCCCTACCAGAGTATTACTCCACTCCCACTTCCTGTTTGAAAAATGCAACAAATACTGTTGCCTAGCTGAGAGGGCGGAGCCGCTAACAAATACACACTCAAGACATTGTGACATCATAATGTACCTCTTAGCCAATAGCTATGGCAGATTTACATTCAAATGCAGTGCTGAGTTTTTGCCTGACAACGGTGCATCGCTGACAGTTTTGGCAGAATATTTAAATTTTAACTAAGATGCATTAAAGTGCCAAATTTTTGACTACACGTGTCTGCAGCACGATCAGACACACATTTACTTAGTAATCAGCAAAAAAATGTTTATTTGGAACACACACACACACACGCATGTACACACACACACGTACACGCACACATGTACACACTCTCTCACACACACACACACACACACACACACACACACACACACACACACACACACACATTTGTTGTACAGCAGTCTGAGGTGTTCAGGTGAAGACTGAAAACTCAAACGGACGCGTGTCCATGCTTAAAGGTGGAAGCCGGCCGAGCTTCTTCTCAGACGACGGCAGCTGTTTGTTCCTCAGCTTCTCTAGAACTTCCTGCAGAGCTTCTATCTGAGAACAGAGAGTCAGGCATAAGGAGCTGCTGGAGGGTCTCAGATACGGAATCCATGGTTCACCAGAACATCAGACATGGAGATGTTTCCCCTTCAGGATGAAAAGATTTAGATCCATCTTCATCACCTGACCTTCAACCGACTCACCAGCTCCTTCTCTTCTTTGGTCTTGATGACTTCAAATTCCAGCGATCGCTCCTCGATCAGCTCGTTGCAGCTCCCCAAAGCCATCAACAGCCAACATGAGGCGCTGAGGAGCAGCATCCTGCGTGGGACCATGGTGCTGACGAATGCTGAGGAACCTGGGACCTGTACCTGCCTGTCGGACACTGATGCTCGGCCAAAGCCCGGCTGGTTTATACTGTTTGGAGATCTGAGGTCACTCTGACAATATTTACCCTGAGGAGAAGGCAATCAGACGGCCGACTTCCAAGGTCAGATGAGGGAAGAACTTATGCTCCCTCAAACAAGATGGTGGCGTGACACACCTGCCCTCCGGGATGTGGATGAGAGCAGCTGTGACTCACAGTCTCTCGTAACGACCCGTTTATTTCCATCAGGTGTGAGGAACATCTGCTATGGCTCAGGTTTAGCGTTCTCCCGTCTGAGCCTCGATATTAAAGGCCACTTAATTAATTATGGATTTCTGGTTAATTTCTTTCGTCCAAATGTAAAACATCCCTACAGAATGGAGGGGCGGAGTCAAGCAGATGGACCCACCTCTTAAATCCAGATGGATGAAAATTTGTGGAGCGCTGCAGAACTTGTGCTCAGAGAACATCGGAAGCCTAGACTGGTCCGGTACTCATTCCATCCTTTAAGCTCCTCCCTCTGTGGACATGTCCCTTCAGGAGTCTCCACAGCCAATCACCTGTTTCCATTTAGTCCTGCCTTCTCCATCCACTATTCTCACAACAACTCATGTCCTCTTTCACCACATCCATACATCTCTATGCTGGTCCTTCTCTCAGTCTCCTTCTACCTATGTCATCATTGTCTCTCCCCTGGACATGTCCAAACCATTTCAGTCTGTCCTCTGACTTTATGTTCACAACAGAGCCTTGAGAGTAAAAACAGTAAAACCAAGTCTTTTATTAACAAAACGACTTTTCTCTGAAATGTTTGTTTGCTGTCGCAGCACTCAGACAATCTCTCTGAGACAAACTTTAAATTACAAACTGTAAACAAAATTCTCCTGAACTTGAATACCAAGAACTTTTATTAACCTCAAACTAAACATGAATCTTTCTTAAAATAAAATCGTTTACGTGAACAAAATCATGCAAATTCACTCCAAATGACAAAAACACCAAACCAGAAAACATCTCTTGGCTGCATCCCAAACCTAAAAGAGAAAGAAAAAATAAAGTATTAATCACGAATGTCTAATTCCGGATTTCAGACCTTTTATCTAAATCATTTCTACTTGCTATTAGTTGTGTTAGTCCCTGAACAAGCTCGTAGTTTATTCTGTTCTCTCCAAGGTCAGAGTTCCAGACCAAAGGTCCGGACAGAACAGAACCATCGTGTTTCACCCCAGATTTCCACCGGCCATGAAAGCGGTCGCGTAACGCAATAGTGGCGTTCTATTCGTAAGCTCATTCCCAACCGGGATCAATTCTGACTCCAAATGGGACTGAAAGTGTTCCACACAGCTGATCTCTACATTGGCTACCTGTTAAATTCAGAATAGATTTTAAGATCCTCCTTCTCACATATAAAGCTCTTAATAATCAAGCTCCATCATACATCAGTGATCTGATTGTTCCACACGTTCCTAACCGAGCACTTCGCTCCCAGACTGCAGGTTTACTGGTGGTTCCCAGAATATCTAAAAACAGGATGGGAGGCAGATCTTTTAGCTATCAGGCTCCTCTCTTGTGGAACCAGCTCCCAGCTTTGGTCCGTGAGGCAGACACCTTGTCTACTTTTAAGACTAGGCTTAAAACATTTTTATTTGATAGGGCCTATGGTTAAAATCTGATGTTAGCCTAAATCTGGACAAGTGGGGGAGTAGAGGGAGGTGGAGTGTACAGTCGGTAAAGACGGCTCTCCCTTGCCCTGACTCCAACATGCCTCCATCTATAAGGCTAGGTTATCGTGAGTTATCTCTGTAGTTATGCTGCGATAGGCTTAGACTGTTGGAGGATAAATTGACCACTTTTCACACTCTACTACTTTCTTCTACAATCCAACTGTATTATGTCCTGCCATTTCAGCTGTTAACTTTTTTTTTATCTAAGTGTTTTTCTCCCCAGAAGAAGCTACAATGATGTTCTGCTGAGCTGTGGTGGCCTCATGGAGGGGGCCATCTGCTAGCACACTGCTGCTAACCACTTAAACATTCTCCCTCTCCTGATAATAACTTTTTACTCTCTTTGACATTGAATGTACTACGACTAGTTTACACCTTTAATTATAGATTCACTAGGATAAATACAATAAAGTTTATCTCTCACCAAATAGAATTTTTACTAAGACATCACAATGTAACCATAGAAACATTACTTGGTGTGTGTGTGTGTGTGCTTATACTGAGCCAGGATCCTCTGAGGGTTTCTTCCTGTTAAAAGGGAGTTTTCCTCCCCACTGTCGCTGCATGCTTGCTTAGTATGAGGATTGCTGTAAAGACTCCGACACTAGTCAGTGACTCGATGCAACCTGATGGGTTCCTTATAAAGGAAACTTTTTTCCGATTGGCTTAATGAACTGACCTGTTTACGTGAAGGTCCTTGAGATGACTCTGGTCGTGATTTGGCGCTTCATAAATAAACTTGAATTGAATCCCGTGACATCATGAAATCACGGAGGAATTGCAACACCACACGTGATTTCAGACGTTCAAACACAATAACACACAAGAAGACAGCTGCATGCAAGAAATGTCTGTGGGTTATTTTGTGTTCTGTTTACATCGGTTACAGAAATGATGTACAGCACGTGACCTTTATTTTGAAAGTTTCCGGATGATCTACGCTGCTTTTCAATTCAATAATACTTTATTAATCACAGAGGGAAATTAGAGACTGTGTTTGACTTCCTGTCTGCCTCAATCTAAACAGCCGAGTTTGACGTGTTTTGGAGGTGTAGCGTGTCAAAAACAGACTCGAAACGTAATGATAGCATGCCCTCATTTCTGGGGCGTGTCCAAAATGTCACATTGCTGCCAGTGGAACGGAACTTATCCACTATAACGGTGGATAATTGCCACGTAGTACGTTTCGCCACGCTTTGATGTGCAGTGGAAAGAAGGGGTCAGCTCTTTAACTGGTGAGTCGAGTCTTTTAGGGTGTTGAGTTTAAACCAAGTCCTGGTAAGTCGGCCATGCTGAAGTTCTACTGATAACACAATTCAACCAGAAGACATCATGTGATTGTTTTAGGAACAACACAACTAGAACGTGAGACATCGGAGGAAAGTCGCTGAGCTCATGCAACAGTCAGGTCAGTGTCGGGTGTCAGTGAGCCACATGTCAACAGTTTGTACTTACGGGGTCCAGACACGCGTTCAGCGTGGACTTTTAGCATCGTCTTTGGAAGAAGACTTGAACTGCTCATGAGTCTGAAACATATAATCAGACTTATTATTAATAATAATTTTTACCCACAAAATGTTAAACTCACATCTAACACTCATAGTGGTAAACGGAGTTCACCTTTATATCTATCTATCTATCTATCTGAAACATATATATATATATATATATATATACACATATACAAACACAAATATATATGTGTGTGTGTGTGTGTGTGTGTGTGTATATATGTGTGTATTGACCCTTTGCACGTGATGTCACGCCACTCATGTGACTGCTCCGTTCACCTTTATATCTATATATATATGTACATAAATATATATATCTATATCTACATATATATATATAGCAGGTGGAAGTTCTTCTGTGTCATCATTAATCTTAGCTTAGATATTAACACAATCTATTGTTCCTCTATGAAAAAAACATCACACACCAAGTCTGATGGATCCATCAGAGCTCAGCTGCAATACGAGAACTACACAGAACGCCAAGAGTTTTCTGAGAAATGGAATTGAGATGCAAGGAGGACCTCAAAATGGAGATCCCAGATTAGAGCCGAGTCAGGAGTGATGAGGTCAACTGTCAGGAGGTATGTACCTGCAGAAAAGCACTTGTAGCAGAGGCCAAACTCGGTTTATCTTCGCTTGAATCGCTGGCTTTCTCGGAATTCTGCTCTGCTGTGGGAAAGCCACCAGAACCCGAACAGGATTGCTGAAAAAAGAATAAGGTGTCAGAGGTCTAATGAGCTTTGAAAGAAAAGCATCTGGACTTCTTTGAGTTGCTTGAAGACGTTTCACCTCTCATCCGAGAGGCTTCTTCAGTTCTTAGGTCAAATGGTGGAGAGTCCCAGATTTAAACCCAGTGTGAGTTTCCCCCCGAAGAGGGAACAAAAGACCCCCTGATGATCTTCTACATAAACACATGAGCCAAGGTGTGAGGGTGGGTGTGGGTCCTATTCAGCCAGAGTTTCGGGTGAGCTCATTGTAAAACCTGGCCCCACCCTATCATGTGAATTCCTGAGGTCAGATGGCCCAGGATATGCGTGGGCGTTGAGGCATCTGGGAAGGGATCTCAAAACTGGATTATAGATGGCAGACAGTTGGTGTCGTAAACCACCGCCTCTGTTCAAAGATGGTTGCTCACAGTGGACATAAATGGCTTCCTTTACTCCTCTTTCAAACCTTCTGTCCTCTCTGTCCAAAATGTGAACATTGGCATCCTCGAAAGAGTGGCCTTTGTCCTGTAGATGCAAATGAAGCATCTTCTGTCAGAGGCGTTCGAGTTTACTAAACAGTACAAACTCTGTCTTCATTCTAAGCTGACAGAATGTAGATCGCCATGACAACAACCAGTCTGTAAACACACAGCAGCCCTGTCACTGGGCAGCAGCAGCTCAGGAGTTAGAGCGGGTTGTCCAGTAACCCTAACCGGGTGTTGGAATCCATCCCAGCTCCTAGCAGAGAATGCTGCTGTTGTGTCCTTGAGCAAGACACTTAACCCACCTAGCCTGCTGGTGGTGTTCGGAGGGACAGGCCTCGCCTCTGTCAGCCGTGGCTACATCATAGCTCATCCCTAGCAGTGTGAATGACTGTGTTGTGAAGCGCCTTGGGAGGTTCTAGAACACTATAGAAAAACCGGCCATTTGGAGCAAAGCTGGAACAGTCATCCAGGAGCTGCTGGTCACACATCAGAATGATCTAGCTCTGGCCCTCTGGAGGTGGGTGGTCCAGCAGCACATCTCAGCTCTGAGCTCTCAGCTACAGTTTCATCCCACTCTTCAAAAACCTGTAAAGCACCTTTAAACAGGCAGCTGTGTGGAGCATACAGGTGCGTGCTAACACACCATCAGAGAGGAGAGAGACGGCAGCTGGGAGTTGAACCTTTGACCTTCTTGCTGTGCCAAGCTTTGTGATGCTTTAATACTAGTGGTGCGTACCGGCTTTCTTCTGTCCCAGAGGGCCTTCACACACGTGGGCTCCTCCTGCACCGCCAGCAGTCTCTGGAGCTTTCCCATCAGGCTCAGGCAGCGAGCCGTGATCTCCACGTTGTCCGACGGCTGAACGCTGACTGCGGCCAGCTGGCTCTGAGCCACCTGCTCCGAGGTTCTGACAGCTCTCACCCATTCCTGGAGAAGACAGCAGTTAATTAAACCAAACCAGGAAGCGGTTCATTAATGTGACAGGGAAGAGTTGGGATACTAAATCTGAAGTCGAAATCACGAGTTCTCAGGTCTGGATGGGAATACACTCACTAAAACATAATCACCTCTGGCACAATCCCCTTTTCTCTTTGCTGTTGTAAATAGCATCCAGCTAGGAGGCTCAGACTCCATCACGGTCAACACATTAGGCTGAAATGCCACGTGAGACTGGCGGTTCAGAGAACTTCTAATCTAAGGGCCAAAGGTCTGAGGTTAGGGTTACCTCCTGAGCTACCCCAACCCTAACCCTGCGTCTGGAGCCTTAACCAGATCCAGCATGACCAAACTCAGGTGCTAGTGTTGGTTTGCTGTCTCACCTGCTCTGTGGAGTTGGGCTCAGGTGTGCTGCGAGTAAACTCCTGCAGTGCCACTTCAGCAGGGGTTATCTTCGCACGAGCCAAAGCTTGGCACATCTCCTCTTCACAATGCTCCTCCAGCATGTCCAGAGAAAACTCTGCCAGGCACAACCGCAGGTGCTGAAGCCTCCTATCAGCTGGCAGCGAAAGGTCGTGACCCTGAGAAGGACAACAACATGAACAAATGCACACCTGAATAAAACCTCACTGCCATTAGACGGGGAACCAATAACAATTATGGATGTGAAACCAGGGTATCTGCAGGTTTAAGGGAGCCAAATTTAAGACTTTTTAAGACCTTTTTTAAGGCCACTTTGACCAAATTTAAGCTATTTTTTAAATTAAATGTAAGCTATAATTTCCAGCTATTGCCTGGAACCGGTGCTAACCACGTCGTGAACGTGGGATTAGCCATCCAGTTACCATTAATGTTGCACTTCCCCATGGCGCAAACTCCCACTAGCGTGCTCATCCAAAAATAGCCCCCTCAACCAACCGAATGTGTACGGTTCCGCTTACGCCAATATCATACACAAAAAATGCTGAACTAACTAGAAATTCACGAAAATTTTATAGAAATAAAAGAATCTTGTTTATTGGGCCTTTGGTCATTTAAGACCTTTGGAAATTATCTAAGGATTATTTGTCATTTTTAAGGATTTTTAAGGCCTTAAATTTGGAAAAGCAAATTTAAGACTTTTTAAGACTTTTTAAGGACCTGCAGATACCCTGGAAACATCCCACTGATGAATGCCCACCACAGCCGGTAATTACAGCTATTTGTTTTAGAGACTCCCTCTGTGTGTACAGGGCGGTCAGTAAACGCTGGGAGGAGGATGCCAGAGCGTTCCTTAGACTAGGCTGCAGCGCCATCTGCTGAAAGCACACGGCATGAATCCGGCTCGCAGCCTCAGTGGCACAGAGAGATCTGTAGCCAGTGTGAGATCTTCCTGCTGGTCTAAAGCAGACATGTGAAAATGTCTGGTGATTTTTCATATCTCTGAAAGAGCTCACATGACACATTAGCTCAAATTCTGCTCATGAACTATTTATTTCCACCCCGGCTCAGCTTTGAAAAACAAATTCAGATACGTCTGCATGAGCGACAGAGTCAGGGCTTCTGGGCCTAACAAAGGCCCTCCTACAGCTGCGTTTGGTTTTCTCCTCCTCACAGCAGCTCAGCAGAGTTGTGAGGTAACGCCCTGATCCAGTCCTTCAGACTCCACTGAAGCTCCAGCGCTGGAAGCTACCAGATGATCTACATCCTGCACAATAACAGGAAATGGTCTGATTGTGGGAGAAAACTGAACCATGCAGGAGTCGAACATTTGAACATGCTGGTGTGGCAGGAGTGAGTTAAAACCTTCACCTGGGTGGCAAAGGTATCACGCCCTTTCTTTCAATGTGAGATCAGCTTCATCACCATATGTTCACTAATTAGTGACTGAACAAAGCAACAACACTAATAATGTTAGCCCAAAAACAAGCTGAAACAACAACAGTCTGGTGTTATGAGCAGGAAGGATCTCCTCTAGCGGTTTTATGCACATCAGTGTTAAATACAAAATGATATTCATGCTAGCTTCTGCTAATGATAGCATTGCTCTTCAGAACACGAACTATGACACATTTGACACCTTAAGTCCACAAACTTAACTGATTTTCAGAGACAGACCAACCCAAGCAGCACACAATCCAGTCTCTAGACGTGCAATGCTGGTAGAGGCGTGCCCCAGAAGACCTGTAGCTGTAGCTGTGGTGAAAGGTGTTGACGCAGGGCAACATTTAGAAAACCATGACTCAGTTTCAACACGAGTAAAATCCAAGGCTAGTGAATACTTTTACCAGATGCTGGAATGAACCTACTCATGGTGTCAACCACAAACTCACTATTTAGTCACAATTTTTCTTTCAGAGGTAAAACTCTCCTACGGAGATGGAATAAATGCGTCCCTGTTGGGAAACCATCATCTCCTGATGGAGGGAGTTACCTCCTCGAGAGGGAGCAGCCTCCGAGCTTCTGACGCCACGCGCTCCTGCAGCGTGACTGCTAGCTGCATGTGGGAAAAGCCTTGGAGCAGGAAACGGCGTTTCTGCTCTTGGTGAGTAAAACAGGAGGCTAGAAGCCTGTAAAGGAAAAAAGAACAAGCTTTAGTCAGGAGTGACCACAGAGCAGGAGATCTTTAGATGGTCCACCATCACAGAGCATAACTTTAAAATAAAAAAGGTAAAGCAGGTGCGAGGCTGACCCGAGGCCATGGGAACACTCCTGATGTGCCTCTGCTGCCTGGCTGTGGAGGCTGAGTTTGGTGAAACCACCGGCTGACTCTTCAAGTGTTTGACAGGCAGCAGTTAGCCTCTGGACCGCGTCAGCGCCCAGCGTCTCTGCAGCTTTAGCTCTGACGGCACGGATGTCTTCCACAGCACCTCTGAGATACAGAAGAGGGTCAGGTTTCCACCAAGACCTTCTTACTTTTGATCAGGGGTCAGCTGGGGTCAGATATGTCATTAATGTGTTTCAAATCAACCCAGACACAGAAAAACAAACCTTTTATTTAATGAGGTGATCATGAACTCCAGATCTTGGATTCTGTTATCTCCCTGCCCTCCAACCAGATAAGTCTCCAAAGCCTCACGGCATCCTTTTATAATAGCATCCACCTAAAACCCCCAAATCAAACAGACAGACACCTTCATGAGGAGCGTGTCCTCTACAAACACATGGAGCTGCATTCTTGGTCATCACCTTGGTCTGGGAATCGTGGTCTATACAGCCCACTGTTGCTGAGACCCTCATGAGGGTGAGGCGATACCAGAATTGAGCGTTCCCACCGTGGGACTGAGCTTCATCCAACAGGTTGAGAGCCAGCTGGTGGTTCTGCCCCTTGCAGGCCAGAGCTGCAAGGCCTAGCAAACTTCTAGATGCAGTGACCGTGTCTCCGAATTCCTGAACATGAAGGACCGTAAAGTCTGCTGATCATGGCAAAAGCTGGAGGGAGTTTCCCCCCTAAGTCATTAATAACCAGATTTTTATTTGTAGCAGCAGGAAGCAGCTTGATGCGCTGCTGGGTTAGATGACTTGTTTGAATATTTAATATTTCTGGGAAGGACAGGAACAGCTCTGAAAGGTTCTGTTGGCTTTTAGAGGGACACAAATAAATATTTATACATTCAAAATTCCTGCTTAGGGTTAAACAGCCTGATAGCTGGGACTCACTAATGCCGCCTGCAGGGCCTCAGCTAGATGCTGACAGGCTGACTGATGCAGGCCCAAGCTGAGACAAAGCTCCGCCTTCTCCACCCAGTGACCCCAAACACACGCATCTTTCCTTAGATCAGCGTTCTGGAAACACACACTTGGAATGTTACATGTGTCACACGCCTACAGCTGATTACTGAGTGTTGTCACAGTTGGAATCGTGATATGTGATGAACGAGAGGCAGCTTACCATGTTCAAACCTTTGTAAAGGCTGCTCCACGTCTCTCTCAAGAGAAGTTGGGCTCTGAAGTGCCTGCAGGAAGTCATGGGAGACGAGCGCACGTTAAACTATGACCTGATACAGGAGGTTTCTCTTGGATTCACGTGCTGAAGAGTTGTTTTATGCTCTCGTCACTAAAGAAAGAATACATCTTTTTGTTTTTGTAAAAACTGTGATACTTTGTGTTCACAAAAGCTTCCCCTCCTTCACAGTTAAACTAAAGGTGCACAGGTGATGCTGAGTGATGCAGCTGCAGCTCAGATGACTCATGTCTGTGTCTGAATGTGGAACCATGTTCGTGAGATGAGCTCCTCTGGGTTTTTATGCAGCAGGTATTTGATGATAATTCTACCAGAGGCTACCTGTAGCTCATAAACAAATGACCACCAGCTGAGTTCACCAACATTTGTTCTTCTTCTTGGATTCTGCTCAGATCCAGAAGCTTCTCCTTGTAGGGTGAAGATGAGTCCAACCCCAGCTGAAGACACGTCCTCACAATCCTGATCAGACAGAAAACAGAAGGAATAGCATCAAAACGACTGCTTACTGAAGGGTTTAGCTACTGAAATGCATAAAACTCTTTTCTGACTTGAGTCTGTAAATATCTGAGAGGCTCCTTCTCTCCAGAATGTCGTGAGCGATGGTCTCAGCCAGGTGCAGTACGGGTAAGGTCAGATGGTGGAGTGAGAGAGCGAGCAGCTCTTCCTCCAGCAGGGTCAAATAAAACAGGCTTTGAGTCTGGAGATAAACAAACATGGAACGTCTGCAAACGTAGATAAACACAGAGTATGGTGCTTTGGGGTTATCACACACCTGCTTGCTGATGCTGTTGCTGGTTCTGAATGCCTGCCTGACTGGGTCGGGGCAGACATACTGAGTCCAGTCCTTTACGGTGGAAGGAAAAGTCTGATCCAACACAGCAGCTTTATCTTCTGCAGGGGTCAACTGGGGTCACGACACAAGTGTTGGTCTTTGTTCAGCATAACTCAAGATAATGTAGCTAATCTCAAGATTAACGTTGGAGCAACTTGCTCACGGGTCGGGTCAGAATGACTTTGGCTTTATGGGTTAATGCTCCATTTTTCACGAGTCCTGGATGAACAGCAGCTATTCAAAATGAAGGAATCAGGAAGTGATTCCTGTATATGTAAATGAAAGATGTTTTATCAGGTACAGTGCTCATTAGGCTCTAAGGTCAGGTTCACGATGAAAGCAGACGCTAGGCTCTGATTGGTCGACCGCCCACAGCCTGCTGCCCACCCAATGAGGGACAAGGCTCGACTGTTTCTGTCCTTGGTGACAGATGTTGGACTCTAAACATCTGGACATGCATTCCATTCCTGCACATGCCAGTTAGTCTGCTGCTCCTGAGCCAAACACCTTCAGAATGGAATGCAGCCATCGTTACTTCTCCTGTTTTTCCAACACTAGTGCCTGCAGCGATGTTATATTTTCACCAGATCTATGAGTAAAGTAAAAATGGGTCTTCTTGCTGGCGCTCCATGTTCCTAACAGGTGAGCTGTGGGACTTACATTTTTCACTTTCTTCTTCTTGGATCTTGTATCAGAAACAGGAGTCTGAGGTGGCCGACTCTTTGCCATCTCATCAGAAACGGGACAAGCCGCTGAGGTCAAGACCTGCAGAGAGAAAACACCCACTCTACACATGCTTACATTTCAGGACAAAGGAGTGAGCCTCTAAAATCCCCGTGGTGGCCACGCAGTACCTGCCATATTTGGAGGATGAAGGTGTGTGCCCTGAGCAGGTTGAGCTGATGCTCCTGTGAGGACTTGTCTGAATTAACAGCGAGGAGAACGTGGGCTTGGACCAAGAGGTTGAGGCGACACACCTCCTTCAGACCAGACACACTCCGTGTGAAAGAGCCGTGACCTCCTAGCAAAGACGCATGTTTTTCTGTGGTTAAACTCGTTTCGGCCACACTTCCTAGAAAGGAAAGACGACAAAATAACAGTTTAGACATTTTATTGAGTAATAGCCTTGTTAATCTTCAGGATTTCCCCGATATAAATCGTTGGCTGTTGGAATAAAACATTTCAGTTAAATATTTCATATCCTCCTGAGACCCACGTTAGTAACTGGTGCAATGAAAAATAAAAAACAATGACAGGTTTCCTATTGTAGCGTACCGAAAGGCCAAGTATTTACATCAATAATGACCAAAAATTAAATTTTAATTTCCAGACACAAACTGTGTCACACATCCAGGGACGCATTACATCAGGCTGGCCTCCTAGCAAGAAAAGCTAGGATCTACGAGCTTGCAACCAAATAAGGGAGACATAATAAGTGCTTTCCTTATCTTTGCGAGAAGACAAGACTTCTGCACTTTCACTCGGGATGAAGTTCATCTTCCTCGAATTACAAATGACTTTACAACTTTATAGGTGGATATGATCAAATGTGTTGAATGACCAAGATGTTTAAATCCAAAGTGTACCATACCAACTTTATTTATTAAGCACATTTAAAAACGGCATGGCAGCCGACCAAAGTGCTGTACAGAATAAAAGTAAAAACACAATATAAAACAATATGCAGTCAACAATAAAATACACAACAAGGCAGATAATCACGGTCAATAAAAAGGCACATAGTAAAATAAAAGTCAGGGATTTAAAAATGCCTGGTCGTAAAAGTGAGCCTTAAGTAGCGACTTGAACCGGAGGAGGGATGGTGCCAGCCTCACTGAAAGAGGAAGAGCATTCCAGAGTGTCGGAGCAGCGTAGACAAAAGCACGCTGCCCCCGCGTTTTGTATTTCATTGCTGGAACTCGAAGCAGCAGGCAATCAGCAGACGTCAACGCCCGGTTTGGCACATAACGAGTGACAAGATCCGACAGGTAATCCGGAGCCAGACCAGTTCAGGGCCTTAAAAACAAAAGTCAGGATTTTAAACTTGACTCTGAAGTTTATGGGTAGCCAGTGGAGCCGCACCAGTGCAGGTGCGATATGGTCTCTTCTAGGGGTGTTAGTTAAAAACCTGGCTGCCGCGTTTTGTACGACCTGAAGCCTGTTAAGAGCGGAGGCAGGTAAACCAATTAAAAAGGAATTTGCATAATCCAGTTGGGAGATGATAAAAGCATGAATTACAGATTCCAGGTGCGCTCGTTTCAGGATCGGTTTTAAGCGAACTAGTCTGCGCAGCTGGTAAAAACACGATCTGACCACTGCGTTAATCTGAGGGCCCATGGAAAAGTGTGTATCCAGTTTCACCCCCAGGTTGGTAACACACTGCTTGAGGTCATATGGGAGAGTGTCCAAATCGGAAGATAAGTGCGTGGTTTTGTTAGGGGTCATCAGGAGTGCCTCAGACTTAGAATTATTTAGCTTAAAGGTGCAGTATGTAAGAATATAGTGATAATTTTACAGTGAGAAAATCCCAAAAGAGTCTGATGTTTCAGTCATTTAGGAAGGAAGGTTCTACTGTATGTTTCATACCCAGCTGGCTGCCGGATTATCAGTTATTCCAATATTTCCCTTACATAGGCGTAGCCGTGGCGGCCTGCCACGGCTGAAATACCAGCGCCACGCCTACAAGATCCCGTTTTATAGATTTAAAAAAATTTTTTTTTTTTTGCGCCGTTTCCCGAAGAATCAGCAGGAACTACTCTGTTGATGCTTGTGATCACAGCCGGCAGGCAGCAAGGAGGAAGAGGCAGGGCAGGGTGGTTACAGCAAGGGATGAGCCGGATACTCATTTCAGACTAGTATCCGGTACGGATAAAGCATTTTTGACAAATATGAGCATGAAACGAGTAAAACTCGTAAATATCTGTAATCGTGCTGAAGGAAAATCCTCATTGGGTAACTGACTGTCTTCACGTTCTGTGATTGGCCAGTCACATAGAGCGCCCGCCCCTCCCTACACACAAAACTGCAGCCGGGAGCTCTGTCCGTCCGGCCCATCCACACACACACACACACACACACACACACACACACACACACACACACACACACACACACACACACACACACACACACACCTCAATCAACATTGTTTTGTTTAACTGTGTGTGGGAAAAATTCCAACAACGTTAGGAAAAAATCAGTTTAATCAAATTAAAATAAAATGGTTCTAGTATTTCCTAGTTCCTGCTGCATGAGTTCAGATGTATTAATACATGCACTTAAATAATAATGTTCTGATTTTACTGAAACACTTGTTCTGTAATACTTCCTTTACTATTGTCATCAAAAATGTTTAATCTCAATTCTGAGGCTGCTCTGTAAAGTTTTCAAATAAACAATACACATATCAACTTCTGATCAATCCATATCAATTTCAGATTTAAAATAATGTATTGATGTAAACAATACCCACTCATTTCCAAATAATAAATAAGAGGTGCATTCATCTGTGTGTCTCCTTTGATCCACATTAGTGATATTTTCAGCACCAGAACAATGAAGCAAAGAAACATATTCCTGAGTTTATGTCAGTAATTTTATTTATTAGGTGCATCTGACCTGTTCTATTCTTCTCTGAAATGAGATCGAATCAGTGCTTCTATGGGTTGTCTTCTCTCTGCACTAGAAACATGTACTTTACTATAATGTTCACTGTAATGCATCTTGATGTTCTTAACAAATAAATTAAATCAAAGATATTGGTCAATAATGCCAAATATGTATATTTGTGTTTCAGTCATTTTTATACTGGCTTAAAAATACTTCATTAAGTCTACTAAGCAGGGGTGTAGAAGGTGTTTAACAGGGCCAGCCCAGTAATGATCTTGGGCCAAAATAAAGGGGGCAGAAAGTCAAATAAAGGGGGGCAGAAGGAGATGTTTTTCCAGATGCCAAGACAAATTAAATGCCAACCCCCCAGCAACCTGTGTCACTGAGAGTTTAAAACAAAAATTATTCTTGTGCAAATATTGGTGTATTCACTTTTAACACTAGTTATTAAAATGCAGCAGTTGCTGGATTGGTGCAGTTCAATGTGGAGTGCATCAAATAAAACATAAAGGTGAGACATGTCATCCCCCCCACCCCCCCAGATTTGCAAAGGTAACATTAGGCTAATGTTTAAACCAGCTAGGAGATTTGGCCATTCCCACCTGAGTCTGCTGCTTCTGCAGGTTCCTGGGTTAGAAGGATGTCCACAGCACACTGTATCTGCTGCTGGGCTTCTTCTCTGGGGAAGTTGTGAAAGTACAGCCATCGCCCAAATTCTAGCAAAATATCGGCTTTACACCACCAAGTCTCCGTGCTCTGTCGGAGGAAACCAGCAAGTCAAAAAACAAGTCAAAAATCCAACAGCCAAACTAAAGTCAGAGACCTGAGCCTAGGGTCAGGCTTAGGGTTAGGCTAACCCTAACCCTCCTGAGCTCACTACTCAATCACTCCCTCACTCACTAACTCGCTCACTCACTCAGGTCTCAGCAAGCTGCTTTAACTGGTCACGTGACTGTGGCGTTAGTCATGTGCCATGGGCGGGGCGTGTGAACGGTGAAGTATTGGTAACGCAGTGATCCTCGTGTTCAATATTCACTGAACTGTTTCATCATCGTCCAATCATGAAAAGCTTCTAACTCAACTAGTAAAGGTTACACGATTGTAAAACACTAGGCCTGTACACACAGCTGTAATGACACACTTCCTCCACACGGTGGCGATAGAGACGTTTTAATATTCCATCTTCTGAGTGAGGAAACAACGTCAGATGAATTAGACTGATCCAGTGTGTTTAGGCTTTGGTGCAGGTGTAACATTACCGTGAGAGAACTGATGGCTCTCTGGTAGCAGGTCAGCTGTTGGTTGGTGTCTTTGGTCAACAGAACTATCTGGCGCCACACTGACGAACAGCACTCTTCTCCTTCACCTTTTAATGTCTCCATGTCCAGCTCTATGCTTTCTCCCAGTCGTGCTTTCAAAAATATGCGATCTTTGAGTAGAGGCCTGGAAAAAGCCCCTGAGAATCAGAACGGACCCCCTTTCTGCCCTCCTCTGGACCCTTCTTATTGCTGTTTGTTATTGTTTCACTCACAGCTGATGTCTGGTGTGGGGCATGTCTGTAATGGCTCTGTTCAACAACTGCAGGGCACCTCCATAGTCTGCTTCCTCAGTGTGGATGCTGACCAACAATTCATACATGGCTGCTCTCAGTGCTAGGGCCGGGTCATCATCTAAACACACACACACACACACACACACACACACACACACACACACATTGATAATGGCCCACCATGTTTTAATAATCTATTAACACGATAAAGTCACACTGAAAACAGTCTGACTGATTTGGGAAAGAGCTCTAAACAGTATAAAGCTGTCGTGCTTCTGTAGAATCTCTGGACCAGACAATATAGTCGAGCATTGGAAACCACATTATAATGCTTTATCTACCTTTATTCACAGTGAACATCACAGAGATAAACAAGAACGAGTGGATTAGTGTTACGGCATCGGAGGCGTGTCAGGCAGTTAAAGAGCTCCCGGACAGTAAATCCTGAGGTCTGCATGGAATACATAGTGAACTTCTTAAACATGCTAACCTTATGCTATCCCCTCTTCTGGCCATCTGTTTGACCCATGGCATTTTGCCGGATGCACTTATATCTGTCATCTTAGACCCAGTTAAAGGAAAAGGCAGGTAGAGTGGGAAGCATGGATAATTACAGGTCTATTGCTCTGTAGGCTGAAGGACTTCACCCATTCTACTGATAACCAGTTGGATTTAAACCAAAACAGCACGGATCTATGCGGATTTGATTTAAAAGAAATAATCAGAAAGTTTAAAAGAGGTAACTCCTCTGTGCTACGATGCTTTATTGATGCGTCTAAAGCTTTGATGGAGCCAACCATCTAGAGTGGTTTATTAAAATGCATCATCGAGAGCTACCTAAGTCCATTCTGAGAGGGGTAGGGTTAGGGCCTTCTGCTATGCTCATCAGGACATGCAGGTCAGATGGGGGGGGGGGGGGGGGGGTTGCTTCTCTGCTTTTGGTGCTACCAATGGGGTGAAGCAAGGAGGGCTTCTCTCTCCTCTGCTCTTCAGTCTGTATATGGATGAACAGTCAGTGAAGGTAAGTAATGTCAGAACTGGCTGTATGACTGGTTCAACCCGAGTCAATCATCTTATGTTTGCTGATGATCTAGTCGTTCTGAGTCCTAGTGTGGGGCTACAGGAACTCCTAAATACTTGTTAGAAATGTGGATTTGACTATAACATCAATTATAATCCTAGCAAGAGTGTGTTCATGACCTGAGAACAAAGGAAGATAAAGGTTTACAGTTTCACCAGTTCACATCGTGAGTTAAAGCTTTGGCTGTGAGTGGTAAATACACATATATGGGGCATTTCATCAATGATGATTTGGCTGCTGATGATGATGATATTAATCGACAATGCTGTAGGATGTATGCACAGGCCAACATGCTAATTCGTAGGTTCAGTGTGTGCTGTAATGTAGTGAAAACAATACTGTTTAAGGTATACTGTACTCAGTTATATACGGCACACCTGTGGTCCAATCAAGTCTTCGGCGACTTAAATTGTTCACGACTTAATGGATGCCTAAGAATTATACTGAAGAGACCTTGTTGGGAAAGTGCGAGCCACTTGTCTGGTTCTATGGGGGTAAATGCATTTCATGTGATGTGGAGGATCCTGATGTATAGACCTCCGGACTTCACGTGACTGTCAGAGAGTAGACGCCATGTTGGCAGGCAACAAAGGTAAACAAAATGAACGGGATCAGCTTGGACTTTGCTCCATCTGAGTTTACTTCACACTTTAAAACCGAAGAAATCGTTTTATGTAGTCAGAAATTAAATAGACTAAACATCTCCGACCCTTACCGTGCCCCTGGGATAATTTTTAAAAACGCCAGAAGCTATCGGAGCAGACCTGGCCAGGGAACGCCTTGGGATTTCCCCGGAAGAGCTGGCCCAAGTGGCTGGGGAGAGGGAAGTCTGGGCCTCTCAACGCTACTGCCCCCACGACCCGACTCCGGATAAGCGGATGACAATGGATGGATGGATGGACAAATAACATAGATTTACATGTAAGTAGTTTAAATAGAGTGCTGTGCTGTTTGAATGTATAAACTGAACGCCAAGAGAAATCACTAGTCTGATTTTTTTTCCGTGAATAAAATAAATATGTCAAGCAGGAGCGTCTCAGGATCTGTCCGAGATCTGACTCGGTGAGACAGATAATAGCAATCCAAAGTGCTTTTTTTGTGTGATCTGACAATTGATCAACCATTGCTTAAAATGAAATACAGCTTAGCTGGTTAATTGCTGTGATCATAAACCACGTAAACAGCAGCACGCAGAACTCACGAGGCAACGTTTTAGGTGACGTTTACTTGTTGCTATGAGTAATAAGACAGAAAAAGCCACGCCAAAATAAGTTTAGGAAGCCCACTAAGAATCGTAATAAAAGCATTTAAAATAAATACCATACACAGTTGAGGAAGCGTTGGTTTAAGTACCTGATATGAAGCGGTCGCTGCATAAGCAAAAACCTTTACTCTCGGTGTCCCACAGTTTCATTTTAGCCCGGTCACTAGCGCGTTTTATTACAATGATCCAACATTTGCGGCGTTCCGGATCTTGGGGAATCCTGTAGAAGGCTTTTCCCTTATGTTGTCCGCGTCTGTTCTGGCATCCTGGGGCACAACAGGAATCTTCCATATTTCCCGTTTGAGTTTTCTGACAATAACAAATAGTCCAGCTGCGGGCTTCTGCCTACCAAGATGGCGCCGTTTCGATTTGAACTGTTGCATGCCGGGACAAGTGACGTCAACTCCCGGAGCTCTATAGATGTATCTGTCGGCTAAACCAATGTGACATAATCATTAAATGCCTGACTAATGTCGACTGTAGCACCACCTGCTGTTGTAGCTGGTATAGCCATCTGTATTTGTTTTGTTTCTTTTTTATTCTTATTTATTGCTATTGTTGTTGTAGTGAACATTTGGATCCTGAGTTTGTTAATAAAGTTGATTGAATGATTGATTGAAAACTTTGGGTTAAACAGTGTTTAACCCAAACTCACCTCTATTTACCCAAACTGAGGACATTCATAGAACTATCATGCTAACCTGACCTGAGAAGGTCTGACCCTTGACCTTAAGGAGTCTTTCTGGTGATTGACTGGTGATTGCTGATTGGCTGCACCTGGCGGTAAGGCGTTTCCTGTTTTCAGTGTTGCACTCCGTGTAGCTGTTTGGTGTTTGGGGCTCGCTAAAGCTGATTTAGTTTCTCTGTACTTGGATATCTCTGAGTTATTGTAGCACAAAAGCACGCTAAAACACACATTTTCTGTTGTTCCACCTAGCTTTTAGGGAACCATTTGAGTTTGCACGCAGTTTATTTGGTACTGAACAGTTTGCTCGTCCAGTTAGCTTAGCCTCAGCACGGCTATGGCTACTTCTGTCTCTGCTTCTCCGTCTCCTATCTCTTGCTCTCTGTGTCAGATGTTTAGTTACTCCTCTGCCTCCTTTGGTGATAATGGTACGTGTAATAAATGTAGCATTTTTGTAGCTTTGGAGGCGAGGGTGTCGGAATTGGAGTCCCGGCTCCGCGCTGTTGAAAAACCTGTAAACAGCCGTAGTTACTTAGCTAGCGCGGGGCTAACTAGCTCAGAACAACCACGTAGCGACCCTCCAGTGGAACCCGAGCAGCCAGGACCTCAGGCCGGCTGGGTGACGGTACGCAGGAAGCATAGAACCCAGCCCGTGGGCCACCACCAACCCGTCCACGTTTCTAATAGATTTTCCCCGCTCAGTGACGCACCCACTGATAAGCCAACTCTGATCATTGGCAGCTCCATAGTCAGAAACGTGGCATTAGAAACTCCAGCAACCATAGTTAAATGTTTACCTGGGGCCAGAGCGGGCGACATTAAATCTTATCTGAAACTGCTGGCTAAGGATAAGCATAAATACAGTAAGATTGTTATTCACGCTGGCAGTAACGACACCCGGTTACGCCAATCGGAGGTCACTAAAATTAATGTTGCTTCGGTGAGTAAGTTTGCCAAAACAATGTCGGACTCCGTAATTTTCTCTGGCCCCCTGCCTGATCGACGACATGTTTAGCCGCATGCTGTCCTTCAACCGCTGGTTGTCTAGGTGGTGTCCTGAAAACAACGTGGGCTACATTGATAATTGGAAAACTTTTTGGGGAAAACCTGGTCTGATGCGGAGAGACGGCATCCATCCCTCTTTGGATGGTGCAGCTCTTCTTTCTAGGAACATGGCCAGTTTTATTAGTCCTTCATGACAACCCAGGGTCCAGACCAGGAAGCAGAGTCATAGTTTAACCCACCCCTCTGCAGCTTCTGTACTGTTACCCACCCACTACCCCATAGAGACAGTGTCCTGCCCACGGCCAAAACCACACAGATTAAATATCAGGCTTAATAAAGCAAATCATGGAAATCTCATAAATATTAGAACAAACTCAACTGAGCAGAAAACTAGAAAAATTAAATGTGGGTTGTTGAACATTAGATCCATTTTTTCTAAGACTTTGTTAGTTAATGACTTGATCTGTGATAATCAGATCTCTTTGCTCTCTCTCACAGAATCCTGACTGCAGCAAGAGGACTATGTTAGCTTAAACGAGTCGACTCCTTCAAATTATTTAAATCATCATATTGCTCGAAGTACAGGGCGAGGAGGAGGAGTGGCAACCATTTTTCATTCGGACTTATTAATCAGTCCCTTACAGATTAATAGCTACAGTTCGTTTGAACATCTTATTCTTAGTTTTCCTAATCCAGATAGCAAAACTGTAAAACCACTCTTGTTTGTAGTTTTATATCGTCCACCAGGCCCTTACTCTGAGTTTCTCTGATTTTTTATCTGATTTGGTGCTAAATACTGATAAGGTCATTGTAGTGGGGGATTTCAACATTCATGTGGACATCGAAAATGATTGCCTCAATGTAGCCTTTAGTAATATCTTAGACTCAATTGGTTTTACTCAAATAATACATAGCTCCACCCACTCCTGCCATCATACATTGGACCTTGTTCTGACTTATGGCATTGAGTGTGAGGAAATAATCTTTCCACATAATCCAGTCCTCTCGGACCACTTTCTGATAACCTTTGAGTTTTTTATAACTGAGTTCTCGAGACATGAAAGTAAATTTCATTATAGTCGGTCTCTATCTGACAACGCAGTTGCATCTTTTAAATCAACTGTTCCATCTTTACTGTCCTCAGCATCTCAGAGGAACGTAGCAGAGGGCAATATTTTCAGTTCTAGCCCCTCACAAATTGATGCATTAGTTCATCATGTTAATTCCTCTTTACGTGTGGCATTAGATGATGTTGCCCCTTTAAAAAAGAAGGTAATTAGGGACAGGAAGTTGGCTCCCTGGTTTAACTCTCATCTACGAGCCTTAAAACAAAACTCTAGGAAATTGGAGAGAACATGGCGCTCTACGCACCATGAGGAGGCCTACCTGTCCTGGAAAAATAGTCTTGTGCTTTATAAAAATAAGCTTCAACAAACTAGAACTGCTTATTTTTCAGCATTAATTGAGGAGAATAAGCATAATCCTACATTTCTTTTCAGTACAGTTGCTAAACTTACACAGAATCATAGCTCTGAGCCATCTATTCCCTTAGCCCTCAGCAGCAATGACTTCATGGGATTTTTTACAAGTAAAATTAATTCTATTAGAAACAAAATCTTTAGCATCCTCCCTAATGCGATTTCTTCTTCCTCAGTAAGTGAGGCAGCTTCAGAGGTGACTGTAGAACCTCATCTGTGCTTGAACCGTTTTGATCCAGTTGAGCTTTCAGAGTTATCAAAAATATTAGCTTCATATAAACCTTCAACTTGCATTTTGGATCCACTCCCAACCAAATTATTTAAAGATGCATTTCCTTTGGTTACTGCCCCCATTCTAGATATAATCAATCTATCCTTAGTAAATGGGTATGTACCACAAGATTTTAAGGTTGCTGTAATCAAACCTTCACTTAAGAAGCCTTCTCTGGATCCAGATGACCCAATGAATTATAGACCAATATCTAACCTTCCATTTTTATCCAAAGTCCTGGAGAAAATAGTGGCCATCCAAGTATGTCAGCATTTAAACACTAATGCTCTGTTTGAGGAATTTCAGTCTGGTTTTAGAGAGTATCACAGCACTGAAACTGCATTAGTGAGTTACAAATGATATTCTCATGGCCTCAGATAAGAATCTTGTGTCTGTTCAAGTCTTGTTAGATCTCAGTGCTGCCTTTGACACAGTTGATCACAATGTTCTTTTAGAAAGACTAGAACATGTTGTAGGGATCAAAGGAACAGCGTTAGGCTGGTTTAAATCCTACCTGTCTGACAGATTTCATTTTGTAAATGTACATGACAAATCTTCTTCATACTCCAGGGTTACTTGCGGAGTACCACAGGGTTCAGTGCTTGGACCAATTCTTTTTACTATATATATGCTCCCAATTGGTAAAATCATTAGACAGCATGGGATAAACTTCCACTGTTTTGCTGACGATACCCAGTTACATTTATCCATTAACCCTGATGAACCTAATCGGTTGGGTAGATTACAGGCTTGTCTTGAGGACATAAAAAATTGGATGACTCTTAACTTCTTGCTTTTAAATCAAGACAAGATGGAAGTTCTCATTTTTGGACCAGAAATCCAGAAAAGGAAATTGCTTAGCCAATCGCCTGACCTTAATGGCATTACATTACTCTCCGAGAACAAAGCAAGGAACCTTGGTGTTATCTTTGACCAGGACATGTCATTCAAATCCCAGGTTTCACAAGTTTGTCGGATTTCCTTTTTCCACCTTCGGAATATTGCTAAGATTAGAAGCATACTTTCCAGGAGCAACGCTGAAAAACTAGTTCATGCATTTATTACATCAAGACTGGATTACTGTAATTCATTACTCTCAGGAAGTCCACAGAATGTAGTTAAAAGTCTTCAGCTTGTCCAAAATGCTGCAGCTAGAGTTCTGATGAGAATTAAAAAGAGAGATCATATCTCTCCTGTCTTAGCTTCCCTACATTGGCTACCTGTTAAATTCAGAATAGATTTTAAGATCCTTCTTCTCACATATAAAGCTCTTAATAATCAAGGTCCATCATACATCAGTAATCTGATAATTCCATATGTTCCTAACCGAGCACTTCGCTCTCAGACTGCAGGTCTACTGGTGGTTCCAAGAATATCTAAACTTAGGATGGGAGGCAGATCTTTTAGTTATCAGGCTCCTCTCCTGTGGAACCAGCTCCCAGCTTTAGTCCGTGAGGCAGACACTTTGTCTACTTTTAAGAATAGGCTTAAAACATTTTTATTTGATTGGGCCTATAGTTAAAATCTGATGTTAGCCTAAATCTGGACAAGTGGGGGAGTAGAGGGAGGTGGAGTGTACAGTCGGTAAAGACGGCTCTCCCTTGCCCTGCCTCCAACATGCCTACATCTAAATAGGATAGATTATCCAGAGTTATCTCTGTAGTTATGCTGCTATAGGCTTAGACTGCTGGAGGACACACTGACCACTTTTCACACTCTACTACTTTATTCTACAGTCTGCTCTTTAACTGTACTATTTTGTGCAATTTCAGCTGTTAACTTTATTTTCTCTGTAAGTGTTTTTCTCCCCAGAAGAAGCTACAATGACGTTCTGCTGAGCTGTGGTGGCCTCATGGAGGGGGCCATCGACTAGCACACTGCTGCTAACCACTAATACATTCTCTCTCTCCTGATAATAACTTTTTGTTTTCATTGACTTTTGATGTGCTAATACTAGTTTGTGTGTGTGTGTTTGTGTGTGTGTGTGTGTGTGTGTGTGTGTGTGTGTGTGTCTGTGTGTGTGTGTGTGTGTGTGTGTGTCTGTGTGTGTGTGTGTGTGTGTGTGTGTGTGTGTGTGTCTGTGTCTGCCTGCTCTGTCTTCTCGATCCCCAGTGAGTCGTGGAGGATGGCTGCTTATACTGAGCCAGGATTCTCTGGAGGTTTCTTCCTGTTAAAAGGGAGTTTTCCTCTCCACTGTCGCTGTATGCTTGCTTAGTATGAGGATTGCTGTGCAATTTGCTGGGTTCCTTATATAGGAAACATTATTTCTGATTGGCTTAATGAACTGTGAATTGGAATGTTTATTATGTGAAGTGCCTTGAGACGACTCTTGTCGTGATTTGGCGCTATATAAATAAACTTGACTTGACTTGACTTTCTGTACTAACCATGTTGATATTTCCCATTAGGCTTTGCTCCTGGGGCCACTGATCCTCTCACCTTGTTCTGCATCTGAATTAAGAACAAAAACATTCAAAGTTAAACAGGAAGACCTGAGAATGAATGATTGTTTCTGCTGCTGTGGTCCATCCAGTCCTGTTCAGCTCTACTGCCCTCTGGTGGCGGGGCCTTATCGGGGTAAAATGATTCTGAGCACATGCACGAGTTCTCCCTGCAGCACTGATCCATCAGCTACATTCATTAGACCATGTTCATGCTTGCTGAGCAGCCTGACTGGCACTTTCTGATGGAGGTTGTGTACCTAGTAACAAAACTTCTGTTTCCATGGTTACATATGTGACAGATCACAATTAAAACATGGACCAGACCAAGCAAAACTTGTTTAGGAACAGATTTAAAGGTTCCTTAACTTTAGAAAGGTTGTGGACATTTTTAAGTGATGTAGTTATTTGAGGAGTTGAGTGAATGTCTGAAACGTTTACACACAGTCCACGTCCTCATTCTGGACATCTTCCAGGTAGAATGTCAGGTGTAATAATGATGTCCTAATGCTAACAAACACTGAAAGAATAAATTAATACAATGCACACTGACAGACATCTAAGTCGATCTTGTTGTAATAAGCTGGGAGTCTTTATCCTAGTTTACATGCGTAATAGAAAACCGGCCTCTCAAACGAACTTTGGAACAATCACTCCGGACAAGTAGACGAAAATGGATGGATGGATAGGTGTTCTATTGACAGCAGCGGTTTCACCTGGGACAAAGGAGGAAGCAACCACACTATCAACGTTGCCATGTTCGCACATTCCGGCTCAAGAAAATAATTAAAAACATGAAAAAGTTCCAAAGTGTGGCTTTAAGGTGGAGTTCGTAAACCCAAGTTCACTCAAATAAGTGTCAAGCATGGAGGGGGTACCAGAGCACAAAGCTGGAGAACCACCTCTTGGACTTAGTCGGGTTCTCCAGCAGGACAACCAGAACCAGAACATTGAGCTTCTAGAAGGATCTTTACAGATTATGGAGAGAAGGAGATTGTCCAGAACTATGTCAGAACCAAGTTTTCTGTCTGAAATGCAACTTTCTAGGAGATGAAAATATGAGTTTATACTTCTGATCCTGTGTGGAACAGAGTACACACACACACACACACACACACACACACACACACACACACACACACACACACACACACACACACACACACACACACACACACACACACACACACACACACACACACACACACACACACACAAAATAAACAACTAATAAACCAAATTCTGCTCTAGAACAGTTGATGAAGTTACTGCCACCCTGGAATAAGGATTAAAATGAATCGTTACATTAATTTAACATTAAAATCTCTGAGCCTTCAGATAGCCATAACATTATGACCACAGATGAAGTAACTGATAATAGGTGGATGTTATTGTTGGTTTGTTTATGAATGTGAGGGAATAACTCTTATCTGATACATTTCCATGTCTGGTGGTATGGGCCAGGGCGGTGAGGATGCCCTCCAGCGGCTCTTTGAGCTGCCGTCTCTCCTCAGGGTTCTTTGCCAGAGGCAAACAGCTGTTCCAGAAGTGCCCAGCAGCTGTGACACACGAGTCTAGATTGCCAGCTTTCTCTGCAAAGCTAAGGACAAAGGGGGCATCTTTAAATAGCTGAGCCTAAGATGTTAGCTGAGATATCTATCTAGTCTAGAGCGTACCTGACACCAGACCGCAGCACCTTCAGAGCTTCTCTGTAGATGCTAGGGTCTCCACTGGACTCGCAGACTAAACTCAGACCTCTCAAACTAGCGGCTGTGCTCAGCATCTCGTTCACTGCAGCCGGGTCAAACCTGCAGAAAACAACCATCTGCCACTTTAGGTGGACACTCTCTCAACCCAAAGTCAGCAGCTAAAGGGTAAACATGCTAACACCAATCATAGCTCTGATGAATGTCACCTGCTCCTCAGAGGGTTTGTTAAAGCAACTAAATCATAAACCCACATTAAACAAATGGATCAAAACCAGTATTTATGGTGTCTGAACTCACAGAAGGCAGGGTGTGGTGTTGAGGCTCTTTAGTGCTGCTTCCTCCAGCTGCAAAGCCTTCTGGGTGCAGCACAACACCAGGCTGTGGTCCGCGATTTTGTAGCAGAGGGCAGCCAGCCGGCACCACACCTGTAACTCCACCACGGCGTCGGACCAGCGGCATTCAGACGCCGTTCTCACCAGCTTCAGGTGAGAGCAGAAAACAAAGGGAACAGAAACACAGATCAGAGAACAGGGAAGGAGGGAGCGAGTGATGAAAGAGGAGGAAAGGTAGGAGACCTGTGGAGGGAAGGAGAGGAAGTGCAGGAAGGGTTCATCTAGGGCAGGGTAGAAGGTTGTAGGAAATAATAAATGCAGGATGAGAAGGGAGGGAAAGAAGGAATGAAATATACAGCCACGTGACCCTCGGTGATCCCCCATGTCCAGCATTTACAGCACTGAGACTAACAAAAGATTATGACCATCTTATGGCCTGTTTGATTTGCCCAGATGAATCTGACCAGAAGTCGTTTCATGATGGTTACGGATCCGTTTAGGAGCAGGAAGCACGACTGAAGCAAAGCTGGAAGGTATCCGGACGCCCAGCTGGACCCTGACCCAAAGCTCGAGTAAACAGGCAGATTCAGTCAAACACATTTAGTTGGTTTCTCTAGTTGATGTTTACATTCGACCTCATCACAGATGAGACAGTCTGGTTTTACAAACGGGGAGGTGAGGTTTGTAGGGCCTGCAGCCGCTAGAAAGGATTTAAAGCAAACCAAGTTCCTTCATCTGCAGAATAAAACATGATTATTGTTATTATGTAGATGAGCTGAATATAAACCAAGACCTGCAGATAAAAGTTGATCTTCCGAGTCTTTTGGTCCAGCTAAAAGCCTGAGAGGTTCGTCACAAAGAGGGATGGACTTACAGCTGAGACTCTGGGACCCGCAGACTCCAGATGTTTTGGGTTCATGCTGGACTGAAGCGTCTCCACCAGAACTTGCACCATCACAAGCACTTCAGGGTTTTTACACTGCAGACAAAACAATGCTGAGTTAGTCCCGATTCCTCCCAACACATGAAATAAAAACAAGCATGTTGTTGTTTTTTATCTTTGTATAAAAATGAGCCTTTTGTTTAGAAGGTAAGTGTAATGCTGCAAATGCAGCGGGACTAATAAAACACCACGAACGTTCTGTAGGTCAGTGTTTCAGCAGGCATTATTGTGTTTGTAATAAAAGTATAAAATAAAACATAACATGAAAAATGTTATTTCAACCAATTATTTTAATGAATAACTTGTTTTTTTTATCTCAGTTGGTTTTCCATTGGACTGTTCTGCTAACAGCTAACGGCTAGTGGCTAACCCGTCTGTAAGATGCCTTTTTATCCGACCTTTCTGTCCTACAGGAGTGATTCGCTATGCTGTTTGTTGATTACAGCTCTGTCTTTAATCCTGGACACACTCATCAGGAAGTTAATTCATCTTGGTCTCTCCTCTCAGCTTTGCTCCTGGGCCATGGATTTTACACAAATCACCCCCAGTCTGTTAGACTGAACTTTCACCTTTCCCCTACCATCTTACTCAGGACCGGCTCCCCACAGGGCTGTGTGCTAGGCCCCTTACTATATTCACTCCACTCTATACATATGACTGTACACCCACCCACCCACCAACTACATAATCAAATCTGCAGATAGCACCACGGTGGTCGTTCTCATCTCAGAGGGGATGGAACGGCCTACAGAGATGAGATCAGCAAACTGACACTGTGGTGTTCAGCAAATAATCTGTCAATAAATACAAAGAAAACCAAGGCAGTGATCCTTGATTTCAGGAAGAGCAGAGCAGAACACCAACCGGTCATCACAAAGGGAGTCATCGTGGACATTTTGCACAGTTTACTCTTTCCTGGTCCACCACCACTATGGCTACAGTAAAGAAGGCTCAGCAACGCCTGCATTTCCTCCGTGTCCTCCAGAAGTGTAACTTAATCCCAACGCTGATGCTGCCTTTAAACAGTTCTGTCGTAGAGAGCATAGTTACATACGCTCTCACTGCATGGTATTTAGGCTGCTCAGCAGCCCTGTTCAGGGTCGTAAGGTCAGAGGCTGTTCTCTTCCTCCACTGGAGGGCCTTGCAGGAACCCGGTACCTTTCCAGAGCAACAAACACCATAAAAGACCGTTCCCACCCTGGCTGCTGTTATAGACCTGATGCCTTCAAACAGGTGTTACAGGTCACACAAACACACAAACAGACTATTACTCAGTTTTTCCAGTGCTATTCAGTTTCTCAACAAACAAACAAACACAGCGACCCCCCTGCTGGGTTGATTATGCCAGTTCTGCACTGGTCCACATTCACAGTGAAATACTTTAAAAAGTCTGTCCAGTGCAATACTTATCAATGTGCATTTTATCTTGTAAATATTTTCTGGAGTCTCTCGTCTTGAATGGTGATGGTGCAACATTTTTATGAATATAATTATTTTTAATGATATTTCTATGAATTTACAATTTCAGTTCAGTTTACCGTATTTTCCAGACTATAAGCCGCTTTTTCCCACGCTTTGAACCATGCGGCTCATAATGAGGTGCGGCTTTAGTCAACCAGAAAGGATGGATGCAGGAAAGTCTAATGAAGGAATGGTTAAAGGAGCGCTACGGAAAGTGCCCAGGAGGATTTTTTTTCACAGTGAAACGGCGCTGCTTGTTTTCCCAGCTTCACCCGGGGATGATGACAGCAACACGGAGAGCAACACTGACATCGCCACAGAAAAGCGACGAAGCTCTTCTGAGGCTGTTCAACTCCGACACTGAAGAAGATGACTTCAGTGGTTTCAGAGCGCAGGAGGATGATGAATAAACTAATCAATAACTTTTCTGTTTTGTTTGATACTGATCAGTTCAGTTACGTTCAGTTAAACTACGTTTTCAATTCAGTAGATATATGCGGCTTTTAGCTCACTGCGGCTTATATTGGGGTGCGCTCTATAGTCCAGAAATTACGGTATTTCTAAAGCACCAAATCAGGACCAGAGTCATCTCAAGGACCTTCACAAAGTAAACAATACAGGTCAGGTCATTAAGCCAATCAGTAACAAGTTTCCTATATAGGGAACCCAGCAGGTTGCATCGAGTCACTGACTAGTGTCAGAGTCTTTACTGCAATCCGATGATGAAGATGATGATGAACTGCACTTTCCACTGGATGGACAACTGTTATTTCATTGTGTCTTGTGTACAGTGACAATAAAGGTATCTAATCTAATCTAATCTAATCTAATCTAATCTAATCTAATCTAACAGCTAGATTGACCTCACACCAAGGTGGGTTGAAGCCATAATAATAAAACCTCAAATTCTCTAGTATATAAACTTTATTTCTATGAAGAGGCTGTTCGGGGAGGGATCGGCACTTAGATAGTAATCATTTATACCTTTCACACACAAAATAGCACAAGTGTAATCACAATCAGAAGGTTACCATCAATGTGTGTGAGAATCCCAGCTTTAGGAAACTGCTGCTGTTCTTGGTGCAAGAAAAATAAATGATGAGCAGTTAAATGATAATAACATACAGAATCAGCTGCTTTATACAAGTCAGTGTACAGGTCAGAGCGGGTCAATTCAGGAGCAAACACAACATGTGACTGGATCATGTGACCAGGGTCATGTGACTGGAAACAAGCAGCTGGAGTGGGCGGGTCTACGACTGTCATCATGAGTCCGACCGTAGAGGGGAAGAAACGGTTCTTGTGGCGAGAGGCTCTGATCCGAATGGATCTGAGCCTCCTTCAGTAATCTGAAGTCCATGAAGGTCATTAAAAAGCCAAAAGCATGATTCAAACAGGGCGTACCTTTCTTTTGAGCCAGTCCATGTGTGAATCAATGGGCTGATGCAATAGTCTCTTTATCTCCACCCAGGTGGTCATGACTGGCTCCAGAGCTGCAGCTGGAACCGTGTCTCCAGTCGTCCTGCTACTGAAGATGTTCACGGCCAACTCACACATCTAGACGGAGGTGGAAAGAGCCTGAATGAGCATTTTCTCACAGGACTCCACCTTGTTCCTTTCACTACTACTTAACACTGCTTTGGACATTTACAGTAAATTAAATCATTTATTATAGGGGATCAGATTATCTGAACAGAACAGACGATCTCTGGTCCGATCCTGTTTCCGCCTATCTGACCCAGCTACGCCGTAGTAAATGTTCCGAAGGAATGACTTCTCATTTCTCACTTTAACAGTCCGTTAATAAATCTGAGTTAAAAGCTCTTTCATCTAAAGTTAGAACTGATGTTGGTGGTAGATCTGGGAGCAGAAAGAAAGAAAGGTTCATTAGCAGCAAAGAAGAAAGAAATCTGACTTCAGCCATGAAAGCTTGAGGTGTGTGTGCGTGTGAGTGTCTGTGTGTGTGAATCCCTGAACTACATCCGTAGAGGACTGGAACTCTTCATCATCTGAAGCCTCTAAAGGAAGAACGAACAAACAGAAATGCTCATCTGCTCCTGCTCTTGGATTTCTTTCCACGTTCCATCAGGTCTGAGCCTTAAACACGTTTCTACACGTCTTCTTGTGTTGGGCTATCTTCACGGGTCCTCAGTCTAAGCCGTTATGGTGTAGACGTGTCTGCTGGTAAACATTTTTAAGAAAAACCAGACGGATACCAATAAAGTCTTAGAAAATGATCACTGACGATAGATTTTCACAGGCTGGCCCTTGATTGGCTTTTATAGTCAACCTAAATCAAGACGTCAGCCCTGCCAGCTGATGATTCCTGGAATGTTTTCACAGATCAAAGAATAGAAAGAAGCTGAAGGACCAGAATCCACCAGGGAGGACATGAGCCAAACGCTCGCTCACAGCAAATCCAAACAGAAACCTGAAACAGCAAATCTCCACAAAGCAGCTCGTTTACGTTTGATGCATCTAACATCTTCTCTCACAGCGACCTACCTTTAAAGCCTTTTCAGCATCTTGTAAGGCAGCACAGTTTAGGGAAGCTTCGTGGATGCTAGCAGACATCTCCATCCCCATCTCAGCTTCGTCTATACCCTGGGCTTCAGCTGAAGCGAGATCAGGACCACCTCTTTCAGAGAGCTGCTGAACCAGTCCCCGAGCCACGGCATTACACAACGACATACACAAAGCGGGATTCCTGAGGGAACACAACACCCTGAGTCACACCAGAGCGTTGGTCTGCCTCCCTGGTTTTAAGTTAAAGAAGCCATTTTTAATTTGAAGGCTGCGGGCCCTCTCTGTAATAACAGATTAGATTAGGCTGAGAGCAACATCTGAACACTCTTGTGTAAAGAGGCGCCGTTTCATCTGTAATATAAACTAAAATGTAAGAACAGCTTTTTTAATTGTAGCCATTCAAGCGTTGGCCTGTGACATCATCAACCAAGCAGCTTTTTTATTAACGAAATTTAATAAACAAGTCATCGCTGCAGTACCCGTAGTCTTTTGTTGCTTGGAGCATTTCCACTAATCTCTGGAAAGTGGGAAGCAGACACTGGAATTCTCCAGCTTCCATCAGGTGGAGATTGTAGTTCCACAGGTAAACTGCAGTGTTCGTTATCACATCCTGATCCTGGATCTGTGCTCCGAGCTCTCCAGCCCTCAGGAAGGATGAGGTCGCCCGGTCGGACTGAGCCTGGATCCAGTCTCTGTGTGAAACAGATTCATAATAAATGGTATAAATGTTGATCTGAGCGTGGCTTCATGCATGAAGATTTTCTCAGAAGAAGTTAGTTCAGGTCAGGATTTCTTCCTTTCACATTACAACATAGAAGACAGACTTCCTGTAAAAATCTGTTCATTGTTGTGCTTTAGGGTTAGGGTCTGCATTTGTTTCAATAGTCGAGAAACGCTTTGGCAGATGTAAAACCACAGCAAGCATAAATAATTACTCCTTACTGATGCTTTTATATCATTTACCAGCTGCTCACAGACACACACACACTGTAGGCTACCTCCTAAGGAAGCTACAGGACTTATTAAGTCCAGCTCTGGCTTTAGGATGCTGAAGGATTCGTCTGGATCTAGGATAACTAACTGATGTTAGTAACGTTTGATGAAAGTAAGCAGCGCTCTAACCAGGGGCGCAGATAGGATTTTCAAACTGGGGGGGACAAAGTTCCAATGTACCCTCCCCCAAACACACACACACACACACGCACGTACACATACACATACACAAACTATTGCAAGAACCTTAACTAGAGCTCAGTCAGTTTGTGTAATTTCATCCAACGGTTTACGTAAAAACTAACTATTATATACGTGTTTGAAGCCATTATACAGCAAAGCTCTGCCTGATCAACACTATAAATGATAAATGATCCGCACTTGTATAGCGCCTCTCAGAGTAAGGACTCCAAAGCGCTTTACACTACAGTGTATCATTCATCCATTCACACACATATGGTGATAAGCTACGATGTAGCCACAGCTGCCCTGGGGCGCACTGACAGAGGCACCCCACTATTTAATTCAGTCATTTGTTATTCTCCCAATCAATTACTAACCAAAACCTCTTGCTTTATGCAAAACATTAAAAGATTAGCAGCATTCCGATCTTTACAGAAAACATAAAAGCTCTAAAAAACTGCACATAAAATATATTTAAAAACAATATTTACTTATCACTTAGAGCAGTGGTTCCCAAACTTTTCAGTCTGACCAACAGATGTTCCTTCGTATTTTTACGTTATTTAGAAATGTTCATTATATTTGGAAAGTTTTTATTTATATATAAATATAAATCTCTTTTTAAATTTTACTTTTTTTATGATTATGTGGCACACTTGACTTCCATGCATAACGCATCGGCATCTGCCCCCTTTTCAAGGCTTTTTTTTACATTGTCGCTACATCTGTCACGTTAGCGGTGTTTTACCCTCATTTCTACATCCATCACGTCCCAGAGAAGGTTAAACCAACATCAAACCCAACGTTTGGAGCTTGTAAACTCCACACACCTCTCGTGCAGCACCAGCTGTCTGATGCTGCAGCAGCATCAATCGTCCCGGCTGGATGAGTGAATTTCTTCATCAGAGTCAGTAATCTGCTTCATAATTGGAGTCAGTCATTACCAGACAAAGTGATCAGTCAACAAAGACCAGACCTGCCGGCAATTATAGGTTTTATCTCATATTTGCGCTCTTCATGTTGCACGCATCTCCTCCTCTCCCTGACTGGGAGCATCTCGGCGGGAGGCGTTTTTCAAACTCTAAAAACTTTAAAACTTTGCTCAGCCTGAAGGTTCCACATCTCCACTATCTTCTGATGTAAACTAGTAACTTCATGAGGGATCATATTTGTAGATGAGACTTAAAGTCAGCAATGAGGCTTTGGCGTTTATAACGAGTAAGTCCCAACACTGACAACAACAACGTACTGAAACTAGAACCAACATGCATAAACAGACAGATCGGTCCCGCCTACTTACACTGTTGGTCTTTTTTAAATACGCAGTAATCGTTGCTTGCCTTTTTCACTTCATCCTGCATCCTAGCAGCAACCACTTTGGCGCCTCTGGAGTCGGTGTTTGTTTACGTCATGCTGCATTCAGTGTAATAGGAAAAATGAGCTGGTCGGGTCGGGGGAGAGGTCCTACCTCAAGTGGAGGAGTTTAAGTATCTCGGGGTCTTGTTCACGAGTGAGGGTAGGAGGGATCGGGAGATCGACAGGCGGATTGGTTCGGCGTCTGCAGTGATGCGGACGCTGAGCCGATCTGTCGTGGGGAAGAGGGAGCTGAGCCAGAAAGCCAGGCTCTCGATTTACCGGTCGATCTACGTCCCAATCCTCACCTATGGTCATGAGCTTTGGGTAATGACCGAAAGAACGAGATCGCGGATACAAGCGGCCGAAATGAGTTTCCTCCGTAGGGTGGCCGGGCTCAGCCTTAGAGATAGGGTGAGGAGCTCGGACATTCGGGAGGGACTCGGAGTAGAACCGCTGCTCCTCCGGATCGAAAGGAGCCAGTTGAGGTGGTTTGGGCATCTGGTCAGGATGCCTCCTGGACGCCTCCCCGGGGAGGTGTTTCGGGCATGTCCTGCCGGCAGAAGGCCCCCGGGTCGACCCAGGACACGTTGGAGAGGTTACATCTCCAATCTGGTCCGGGAACGCCTTGGGGTCCTGCCGGAGGAGCTGGTGGACAAGGCCGGGGAGAGGACGGCCTGGAGCTCCCTAATTGGGATGCTGCCCCCGCGACCCGGACCCGGATAAGCGGAGGAAGACGAAGAAGACGAAGACGAAGGAAAAATGAGCTTCAAGCACTAAACCTCCAATTTTGTTTTCTTTTTGGCCTTAGTTGGGGGGACGGATCGGGGCAGACCTGAATCTGGGGGGGACAGACCCCCCCCACCCACCCATCCCCCACCCCATCTGCATGCCTGGCTCTGACGTTTCTTATTCTGGATTATTTAAGAGCGTTTCCAAGTGAACGTGACCAATAACTACTAAATCAGCATCTGTTTGGAGAAACAGAGTTTATATCAGACAGGTCACAGGTGGGAAGGTGGTATCAGTTCATAATCATTACACAGAAATCAGAAAAACTTCAGAAGAGTAATTGCCCTCAGGCCCACCCACCAGAACCTTCTAGAAGTTCCAAAGACCAGATAGAAAAGTGGAGCTGGTCGCTCCTTCCAGACTGTTGCACCACGACTCTGGAATGATCTTCCTTTATCCTTATGTAGGACTGACAGTCTGGACTCAAAGTTGTAATGATCTTTCATTTGTTTATGAAATTTTATGACGTAATTTATTCTGATGTTGATCTATTTCTGTTTTGAGATTTTATGACTTTATGTTTCATTTAGTTTGAATCTAAGTGAAGCACTTTGTGGTTCTGTGCCTGCGATGGGTGATATATGAATAAAACGTACTACCTGGCAGCACAAGCCCCGACTTTTATTAGAAAGATGACTCACATTTGTTCATCAGACCCAGAATACACCCGACAGATCCAGGACGTTTGCTGCTCTCTGTCGTTTGGACTAACGAACCAAAGCCTTCTATGTCCCACAGCTACACTCGTGTACGTAAACCCCCATCTCCACCTCCGTGGGTGGTGTCATCCTTGCAAGCTCGGATCCTCTACCAGAGGCCTGGGAGCTTGAGGGTTCTGCAGTATCTTAGCTGTTCCTAGAGCTGCCCTTTTCTGGACTGAGATGTCTGATGTGTTCCTGGAATCTGCTTCAGCCACTCCTCCAGTCTGGGGGTCACTGCCATGACCACGGGCACTACCGATGTCTTCACTATCTGGGCTTTCTCAAGTTCTTCTCTGAGGTCCTGGTACTTCTCTAGTTTCTCATGTTCCTTTATCCTGATGTTGCATCGCTTGGTATCGCCTCATCAACCACAACAGCTGTCCTCTGTTGTTTGTCCACCTCCACAATGTTTCTCTCTCTCTCTGTTTGTGTGTGTGTGTGTGTGTGTGTGTGTGTGTTTTCACCTGTAAATAACCCAGTGTGGATCCTCCTCAGTGAAACCCACCGACGGATCCTGCGGTGGGACGGCTGGACTGTTAAGCTTCACTCCTTCTGCCAGCAGCAGCTGGATGGTAGCCTGAGCAAATTTCCAGAAAGATGAGGTTACATCTTGTGAAGACAATTTCATAATAAAAAGGCAGGAGAAGTTTTGCTGTGGGCATGACAACTCATCCAGACAGATTAAAGCTTGCTGCAGGGACCAAGCTGAAGAAATGAGTGGTGAGCTTTTTACTCCAGTGGCAGCTAACCAAGGTAAGACTGGATGAGTTGGTTTTCAACATCAGGTTAAATTAATGAACTATAACTCAACTGATAAAAAAGAAAAAAGCCTTCATGTGTCTCAGAACAAAGCGAGTGATACATGAAAGGAGCAGGAGGCCGGGCTGCTTTGTGTGTCGGATATGACAAGGTCACGTCTCTGCCGTGCCTAGTCCCCATTTTCTTCAAAGTACTGTCAAGTTAACATCTCTATAGATTTAATAAAGGCTTAAGGTTGTAGGCTCGATGCAATGTGGGAGTATACAAAAAGACAAGCTCATAAAACCAGTCCAGCTCCATCTATTTTCTCTCCCACCTAATGGGAATAATAAAACTCCCATCATGGGGAGTTTATTAGGAAGCTAATGCAAAAGATGAAATGGGCTTAAAATGAATACCAGCTTATAACCTAGAATAATAAAGGTACAGACACATTTGAACAAAAACAATGAGTTTGCAGATTTAACTGAAAACATTGCATTTAGCACAAGACTAAGTAGGTGAAGGGATGTGATGCAAAAACCCGAACAGCGTGATTTATGATAAAACAGAGACTCTAAATGGTCCGTAGCCATGGAAGACTGGTTGTCTCTGCATGTCCCTGTGAGACACCAGCCCCCCGTGACCCTATGAGGACTATGTAGCTCAGAAATCATAGATCCAGAATGTCCTGAATTATTTAGAAGATGCTAAACTCAATACAGTCCAGAGATGAACAGGACTCTGGCGTACCAGTAGAGCTGACATGATGGCTGGCCAGGTAAATGGTCTGTATTTTTATAGCGCCTTCTTAGGGTTCTACAACCCCCCAAGGTGCTTCACAGCACAATCAGTCAATTCACTACGATGAACTACGATGTAGCCACAGCTGCCCTGGGGCGCCCTGACAGAGGCGAGGCTGTTGTGCAGTTAGAAGATAAATGGATTTTTAACTCAGTGCTCTTGAGCTACACACAGAAAAGCTGCTGCCTGCTCATGAGAACACACCTCAGCATCCACAAAGTAGACTTCAGCCAGAAGGCGCATCGTGTACACATGGCCTTGTCTTCCACAGCAGCCGTCAGGACAACCTGGAGCGCCTCTCTTCTTTGAACCTTTACACACTGATGAAAACATTCTTTGGTGAAAAAAACTCCCCGGCCAGTAAAGCAAACATTTTTAAATACATGCGGCTTCTATCAAACCTTGGAGGATTGTTTTAATCAGTCAGTGAGTTTACTTACTCTTAGTCTCGGACACCGTCCATCTGCCGTCATCGTAGAGTAAACAGAATCGACATGCAGCTCTGCACACGTCCCACACTTCCTGCTGTCTGGCTGTTTTAGCTAATCTTGCCCATAACTTCAATCTGAAACAGCAAAGAAGACTGAGCTTTGATATATGTATACCGCGTATTTGACAATAGATTTATTAATTCAATTCAATTCAGAAATACTTCATTAATCCCAATAGTGATGAGTTACTGGATATCAGTAGATATTAAACTTACAGGGGCAGATTCACACAGAAACCTTAAGTCCAATAAATCAAATGTTCATTAGTAATTAGCATTCAGAGAAAATACAGAGTAATAAAGTCAACAGCCCATAAATGTCTGATTACGCAGACGACTTATCAACTAGCTCTCAGAAAAGTGCAGCAACTATTAAACAATCATGATAAAAAGGAAGTCAGTTTCAGAGTTTAATGTCTCCGAACACAGTGAAAAGCAGTGTCTCAGTGCAGGGTTTCACTGGTCTGGAGAATACAGGCGTGTGTTAACATGTCTACGAGGGAGCGCATCAGCAATGACCTTACAAACTGATGATGCTGTTCAGTCTAGTAAGGGTTAAAAGTCATCATTGTGCAAATAGAAAGATTTACCACAAGTGGGAAACATTTAAGACAAGGACGTCCTCACAAATTCACTCAGAGGACAAAGGTTAATGCAGAGATAAGACAATCAGCCTGTTTGGGAAGATTGCAGGAACAAATATCTTATCTCTAGAAGGAACATGAGAGGTTTAGAGATGTTCATCCAAAAGAACCACAAGCACTTTGGGAACGTGTCTTCCAGACGTTTAGCTTTTCTTGAAGAGTTAAAAAGCCTCGGATGCACCACCAGGTATCTGCAGGCAGGAAACTAAGTCCAATAATCAAACAGGATTACAATTCTGGCAGTTGGGTTATTATCTCATCGCAGCAAATAAACATTTTCCAATTCTCCTTGCTTCTCCTAGCTTGGAAACTTAGACAGACCATCAGTCCAGCCACGCTCCTTAGGATCCTCAGCAGGCCAGATCAGTCTTGTGCTATGCCAATCACAAAGCTCTATCAGTTTGGTAGACCATGTTGTAGGGATCAAAGGCTGGTTTAAATCCTACCTGTCAGATAGATGTCATTTTGTAAATGTACATGACAAATCTTCTTCATACTGCAGGGTTACTTGTGGAGTACCACAGGGTTCAGTGCTTGGACCAATTCTTTTTACTATATATATATATATATATATATATATATATATATATATATATATATATATATATGCTTCCTATTGGTAAAACCATTAGACAGCATGAGATAAGCTTCCACTGTTATGCTGACGATACTCAGTTCCATTAACCTTGATGTACCTGATCGGTTAGGTGGATCGGTGGTCTCGTACCTGCTTAGTCAAATGTGTTGACAATTCCCCAAAAGAAGAACGTACAACTGATTATTAAATGAAAATAATGTCATTAAATATCCTTAACACTGATTCATGTCTAACTTCTCAGGTAAATTTTTTAACTTTCACAATCCTCATGCAGGGTCCAGAAATACACCACAGCTCAGCAGAACACCATTGTAACTTCTTCTGGGGAGAAAAACACTTAGATAAAAAAAAAGTTAACAGCTGAAATAGCAGGAAATAATATAGTTAAAGAGCAGATTGTAGAAGAAAGTAGTCGAGTGTGGAAAGTGGTCAGTGTGTCCTCCAGCACTCTAAGCCTATAGCAGCATAACTACAGAGATACTGGATAACCTAGCCACATGTCCAGATCTGGGCTAACATCAGATTTTAACCATAGGCCCTACCAAATAAAAATGTTTTAAGCTTGGTCTTAAAAGTAGACAAGGTGTCTGCCTCACGGACTAAAGCTGGGAGCTGGTTCCACAAGAGAAGAGCCTGATAGCTAAAAGATCTGCCTCCCATCCTATTTTTAGATATTTCGGGAACCACCAGTAAACCTGCAGTCTGAGAGCGAAGTGCTCTGTTAGGAGCATATGGAACTATCAGGTCACTGATGCATGATGGAGATTGATTATTAAGAGCTTTATATGTGAGATGAAGGATCTTAAAGTTTATTCTGAAGTGAACAGGCAGCCAGTGTAGGGAAGCTAAGACAGGAGAGATATGATCTCTGTTTTTAAAAAAGCCACCCTTTGCTCTGATTACTGCCTTGCACACTCTTGGCATTCCCTTTGATGAGCTTCAAGAGGTAGTCCTTCAAGACTGATGGAAAACCTGTAAGTGTCATATAAATAACGTGTGTGTAATTTTTGGTTACAGTACCTCTCTGCTCCGTCGATGTCCTTGCTCTGTCGAGCCAAGTGACCTCCCGCCTTCTGAACACTTGTGGAGTGATGCTGAGCTTTTGCTGCTAGTTGAGCTGCCAGCCCAGGTAAAAGGTTTCCTACAGGAACAAGAAAATGGAGGAAATAACAGATGCAAGATGTTATTAGGCACCTCCCTATATCTCTGAACTGCTCACTCCCTATGTACCCACACGCATGTTGAGGTCGGCTGACCTCCTGCTGCTGTGCACGCCCCGGATGCGATACAAATCGCGGGGTGAACGAGCATTTGTGCATGCTGCCCCAAAGCTGTGGAACTCGTTACCCATTGGAGTTCAACAGGCTCCATCATTAGCGGTTTTTAAATCTCATTTAAAGACCCATTTTTGCGATGTGGCTTTTAGACAGTGACTCGTTTTAGTGTTTTATTGTGTTCTTAGTATTCCTCATGTTTTAACTGCTTTTGATTGGTATTTTTATCTTCTGTTTTAGTTCCTTAGATTGGTTGTGTTTTGGTCCAGCCTGTGCAGCACTTTGGGCAGCTCCCATGCTGCGTTTTAAACGTGCTATATAAATAAACTATGGTATGGTATAGTATGGTATTACTGGCAAAGCTCAGAGATTGCTTGTTGACAAAAAATTATACAGAGGTTATAGATTATAAAGCTCCCTGTCAACTTGATGCAACAGTTCTTTTGTTGGACTTTACCGTTCAAGACCCTGTTTACGGAGTCTTACTGAGTTAATGTCATCTCCAATGTAGGAGGGAATGGCTAACCCCGACCTTATTCTCCTCACCCTTGGAGCATATCCCTTCAAGGGTCTTCACAGCCAATCACCTGTCTCAATTTAGTTCTGTCTTCTGCATCCTCCATCTTCACACTAACTAACTTCATGTCTTCTTTCACCTTGTTGGTCTTCCTGTCAGCCTCCTGTCTGGTGGCTCCAACTTCAGCATCCTTCTACCTACAGCTTCAATGTCCTTTATCCTTGTGGCCCGGTGCTCCAGCATGCTGGACAAGACATTGTTCATCATCAAGCTGTAGTTGGATGGTCAGAGTGCCCCCCATGAAATAACAGTTGAGTGAACAAAAGTGATAAAACGTATGTATAAAACATATTAACCTTCTCAGTGGCATAGTGGTAGAGTGTCCGTCCTGGGACTGGGAGATCGAGGTTCAAATCCAAAGACCCCAACACCTCCCTGCTTCACACTCAACTTTAAGGGGTTGGACTGGGGGGTTAAACCACCAAATGATTCCCGAGCGCGGCTACAGCTGCAGCTCACCACTGCCCATTGGGATGGGTCAGATGTGCAGATGAATTTCACCAGAGTGTGATGATGACTAAGGGACTTTAATTTTATAAAAACAGCCCAACAGCAAAAACATATAAACTAAGAGAATTTAGTTTAAAATCAGGCTGACTAGAAGCTGCTCCAGTAAAAGAATGGTCTTCTCTTAGCCTATACTTGGTCAGAACCATCAGGATCAGCTGGTCCATGGACCTGGGAGAATGGGAGGGGCACCAGGCTGCAGCCGTTCTGAGAGATAGGATGGGGTGAGGCCATGGAGGCCTTTAAAAGCAAACCAACAAACTTGAAACTGAAAAACTAGTGGAGTGAGGCTAAAATGAAGGCCATGTGCTCATAACTGTAGCATTTTGCACCATGTGGAGACGAGTGGTGGAAGAAGCGCTGACTCCCTTATGAAATGAACCATTCTCTCTAGTCTCAAGGGTCACATCACGAACTTTCTATGAACAAAAAACACATTGATTAAGTGCCTTCATCTTGGAGTATGCTTGAGGTTCACCCATAAAAACTAGGGATGGACTATATATCAGCATCAATATCGGTATCGACCGAGGTTAGACTTTTTTTAAGATATCGTATCGGTTCGATAAATAAAACCGGGCCAATATTAACAACCAATATTTTTTTCTATCTCGTCTCCATTTGTTTGTCTTTTTCGGGGGTGAGTGGGGGGTGGGGGGGTGGGGGGGGGGTAAATGTTTAGTTGTGTGAACAGTGAATGAAATCATCTCAGAAGTGTAAATGTGTGTGATGTGTGTACCTCATAATGTAAATTCAGCTTTAATTATTTTCATGCTACAGTAATCCCTCGTTTATCGCGGTAGATGCGTTCCAGACCTGGCCGCAATAGGTGAAAATCCGCAAAGTAGGGACTCCCAGCATGCCCCTCGCGGGGATTCCCTCCACGTCGCACCTACGTCACAAACCGCGGCTATAAATGGAAGTCGCCTTTCCAGCTCACCACTCAGTCATCGTTTCTTCAGATTCATGATCAGAGTTTCCAACCTACCGATCAATCCAACGAACTATCAGCTCATAGTAAGTTATCTTACTTACTTCTGGAAAGCCCGGCATTTCCGTGTCACTTCGTTGACGCTCGAACGCTCGGGGGTTTCCTAGATCAGCCGGCGTTTCACTGACGCTATCACTTCCGCGTCTGTGAAACCACGCTCCCTATTGAATTATCGTATGATCACATTCTCTTTTTGTGGGTAAAACTCAAGAAAAAAATTTTTTTTACTTGGTTTTTTTTAGTTTTATTACAAAAAGTGCATTTTATGATGAAATTGATGAAAAAACCAAGAATTTCTTGATATTTCGCATAGAAAAATACCGTGAATCAGTGAAAAATACCGCAAATCTGCGAATTCCCCCTGAAAAACGCTCCAAAGAAAAAATCCGCGAAGCAGCGAATCCGCGATGAACGAACCGCGAAGTAGCGAGGGATTACTGTATACAAAATCTGCTGATTTTAGAAGCATTAATGCCTGTATATCCGTATCGGCAAATATCGGCCATAACAGTGATCTTAATATCGGGTATCGGTATCGGCCCAAAAAATTTCATATCGGTGCATCACTAGTAAAAACAAGAAAAGCCTTGGGGGACCACAGCTTTTAACCCATGCCTGAAGAAAAAAAGCCATTTGACTGGCTGTCAAAGGTGAGTTCTCCTCTGGGTCATTAGCACTGCTGAGGGCTCTTGTGATACACTGGACCAAGCAGCCAGGAATGAGTCAGAGATCAAAGCTCTGGCCTTTCAGCCACTGATCAGTTCAATACATACGAGGCTTCGCTAAGAACAACAAAACCACGGCTAACTAAAGTTAGAATGACTCACAAAAGTGATTTGTTTCCAAATCACAGCAGTACGTAAAACGCAGGCTACCTCTGTAAGCGGCACAAGATGCTGTCCTCCAGGTGAATCCTGCAGGTAAACGAGGGCTCGGTGACTGGAGGCCAGTGGGACTGGGCTCAAACTGTACTCTATGAATGTCAAACTATTTAGGGTTCTAGTCGGCTGGACTACTGCAATGGCCTCCTAACTGGTCTTCCCAAAAAAGCTGTGAAGCAACTGCAGCTTGTTCAGAATGCTGCTGCTAGAGTCTTAACAAGAACTAAGAGAACGGAGCACATCACTCCTGTTCTTAGATCCCTACACTGGTTACCAGTAAACTACAGTACAGGCTTCAAAGTGCTAATACTAGTTTATGAGCCACTCAGTGGCATGGGGCCAAAATTCATGTCCGATCTCATTCCTGTATATACGCCCAATAGGGCTCTGAGATCCTTAGGAACCAATCAGCTGGTAGAACCTTGGGTCAGAACCAAACGTGGTGGAGATGCATTGGATGCTGTGGCTGCATTCAGGAACTATTAAAGCTGTCAGGCAGAGAGGCTCCCTGACCCGGGATTTGAACCCTGATCGTCCAGTCCCAGGGGGACAAACTTCCACTAGGCCCCTGAGCTGGTTAGTATAAAAGCATGTAACAACAATCAGTGACAGGTAATGAAAAATCAACACACATGGACCCGTTACTGATGGAAAGGCTGTCCAACTGAACCCAAACGATTGGAGTTGCCCAGAGCTGAGCTATTGGATGTTCTTGTCTCTCATTTTCCAGCAACTGATAAAAGGTGGAGATCGAGAAGAGAAGGGAGCTTGTTCTGGGGGCTTGGGGTTTTGCCTTTTGATCTGTAAAGAAACTTTTACCCGCTGCGTCGGGGTATTGTTTGGATTACTCTTTTTTCATCTTTTTGGAATAAAACCTTGGTTTCTTATTGAGAAACTAAAAGGAGCGACGTTGCCTGGGGCCTCTTCTGTGTCGTGTAACCGGGAAAGGTGAGGAGCTGTTACTTTATATCCCACTCCAAGGTGCGGTTTATTCAGAATAGTCATTAACCTGAGCGTACATAAGCTACAGGTGACTGAGGGTGTGTTGTGAGTAAACAGAGTCTCCCTTGAGCTGCATAAAGTTGGTTTTGCCAGAATCAGAGTCTAGGTTAGCAGTGATTGCTAATCAGCTTCTACAGTGTGCTGGCATTTTAAAGAGTGGCTGGTGTCACGCCCACGCAAATAGAAATACAAGTCAACCCTGAGACGTTAACATCTTTTGAAGAGTTAGGCTAGCTTGAGAAGATGGCTTGTAACATGAACCATGGCTGATATTTTCACCTGTGTAAATAGTCATCTGAACAAGTGTTTTAAGCTGTTTCTTTGAGAAGAAGACCTCCAAGCAAATGGGAGGACAAGTGAGAGTAAGAAAGAGAAGTCGGTACTTTTGGAGGTGTTGTCTGCCTCCAGCACTGTCTGAAAATCCCCAGGGGCCAAAAGGAGCCCAGCAGACACGAGAGTAAGACGACTGCCTGTTGTGCTCTGGGGCCGCCTCTCCTTGGCCTGTGAAAGACGAAATGGTTGAATGTCAGAATTATTTACGAGTCAGCTACTTTTCTCAGTCCTCTGGTCATCGAAAGTCAAACACAGCAGAATACAACTCCTAAGGATTTAAACTTGAACAGTCTTGTTTTCTGCTATGAGCTCTTTAAAGTTAGACGTTGTTAAACAGATGGGTGAAAAACCTGCAGCATAAGCAAAGCAGCCTTGTCCTCAGGCCTGGTAAGTGTTTTGGAGGGGGCCAATCGGAGCCGCAGGAGCTGGAGAGCGGATGATAGGTGTTCTTCTTGTGTCCCGTCATCCAGCAGCATGGCTTTCTGAAGGTGAGCCAAAGAAGCCTCCAGACTCCCTTCCTCCTCTTCAATTATTGCCATCTCTGAGTGGATCTGACAGCGCATTTCCAGCAGTTTACTGCAAGAGTATCAAACCCACATTTTCTGAATGAGTTCATGTCTAAAAAAAAGACAATGTTTAAAAAAACCTGTGAAATGCCGATTCTCTCAAAGGCACATTGGATTTATTAAAAAACAATGTTGAAATTAGAGAATTATTTATCTCTAATGGAAACAGGAGATTGCTGTACTAATCAAACAGGACACACTGTGGGACATCCCCTTCATTTAGCTGCATAAGGACCTGTGGCTAACAGACTCTCTGGACCCAAACCCAATGCAGGGCTGTGCAGCTTGGACACACAAGCGAATGTGAAGAGGAGCAGGAGGAAGAAAGATGTTTCCAGTCAACATGAAAACATGGAAGTCGTGTCTGGGCTACCGCTTCTTCAGATTGTAAAATTTAACCAGTCACACCATATGAGAAACGCCTCCAAACAATAAAAATAAATAAACAAACCTTTGGATCTGTTCCAGAGCTCGGGCCATGTTGAGCAGAGAGTTTTTGACGAATTTCCTGAATTTGGGCTTCAGGAGGGGCTGGCAGCATCTCCACTGGGTGTTACACACTACCTGCACAGCCCAAGGACTCGACTTCTTCACTGCAGTCTGCAACAACCGATCCAGCTTTTTCACCTCCTTCAGGCAGGCCTGTGGGAAAACATCTACATGTTGGGAAGCACTCTGGCAACGACAGCACAGAATCTCCACGACTTGGCAATTACACTGGGGTTAAACCAAGGTGAATATAATTAACAAACTAAATGTGAGCAGTTGGGTTTGGGATACAACACTCAGCATAAATGAGTACACCGCATTTAAAAAGTACGAGTAATTCAAGAACTTTATTATCAGATACTACAACACAAGATAAAATACATAAAAAATAAGCAAAGTAAAAGTAATAAACGTTACAGGCAGTGAAAATTTTTAACTAAACCAATGCTCCAATCAAAAGATGTAAATCTTCTAAGTTCTGGTTAAGCTAAAACCATAACTACCTCATCAATAGAAATGTTCAGCCTACACATACATTTGTACATAAAAGCTCTCCTTACAGCTTCAAATCCAGAGACACGGCGAATAGCTAACATATGACTCGCACTGGTAAACCTTAGCAGTGTAAAATAATTCTAGAAGCATCATTACATGCCACCTTTAGTTTTCCGACTTTTCCTTCTGAAAATAACACCATAAATGTGCCGTAGTGTAGAGAGGAGAACAATGAGCTCTGAAAGGTTCAGTCGTAACATCATCTGTACACATATAGAACTTTATTACCAGCATATTAGCATGAGCATAAATTTTGCTGAAATAGCGCTGTGAAGGAAATAGCTTAGTCAATCAGCTGGCATTAAATTACCCTCTGAGAACAAAGTAAGGTACCTTGATGTTATCTTTGACCAGGACATGTCATTCAAATCCCACGTTAAACAGGTTTGTAGGATTTCCATTTTCCACCTTCGGAATATTGCTAAGATTAGAAGTGTCCTTTCCTTGAGGATTGGATCCTGACTTGTATGCTGCCAGGAAGAAGGCGGAAAATGCAGCAGTGCATGGCCGAGGCTCAGGGGCCTCAGGTGGGCCTTGGCTCCTCTGAAACAATAACAATTCTGTCCCATCACGGGGGAGGGGGATGTCCAGGAGGGGGAGGACCCAACCTTACCTGGATGTCTTAAATATTCTGGAAGTTGTGCAAATCCAGGGATGGGAGTAGATATTCTGCTGGGGTGGGGCTGAGTTGGTGGCCTTGGACTCCGTGGGGCTCGGCGATGCTGCTGCTTTGGGCCCTGGCTAGATGGGTTTTGGTCTCCATGCCCTGGGTGGCATTTTGTGAATGGAGGTGCCTTATGGGGTCAGTGTAGGAGCTGGCTCTCTGGAGGGCCATTCCTCCCCATTATCATACATTGTTATCCTCCTGCTCCTTTACATCATCACATAATCATGCACATTGGATCTTGGGGGGTGGGCAAGTCAGGGGGTGTGGGTATGGACCCCATTTCCGCATTCCTGTGGCAGCCTGCCACCCAATTTTATTTGCACATTAAACACTTCCACCAACGACATTCCACGCAAACACACACTTAGGGCCTTGGGAGTGAGCACACAACGGCATTTGGCAGGGGGATCTTTCAGCCTCATCCTGAGTGTCAGTGCCCACTTCCAATTTTAAACTGCACTTAGACACTGAGGGCCGTGGGGTAAGTAGGGTTATGTGGTTGCATCAGCTGGCGTAGGCCAGACAATGCCTGCGCTGCCCGCTCACCACAACCATGGAATACACCTCATCAACACACACACACTAACACTGTATTGGAGCAGGTGGAGGGAGACTAAGGGTCTTAGCACACCTCTGTTGTCGCTTGGCTTCCCGGGGCTGGAGGTTAGGAGGTGGAGCTAGCCATCTGGTTGGGGTCTGGGGTGGTGGGTTGCTTTGCTCGGCATCACCCCTGCAGAAAGGGGCTAACTCTGGGAATGGGGAATGGTTGTACCCTTTGTGCAGCAGTACCGGGACCAGAGTGAATAGGGTGTGTATGGGGAGCGTGCGTGGGTGCCTAGCATTTATTTTTGTAAGTCTTAGGCTGTATGTGTATGTGTGAGCATGAGGGAGGGAGTGTGTGACTGTGTCTGTGTATGACTGTATAGGAAGCCTAAATCACTTCCGCATCATGAGTCCCTGGAAGAACGAAAAAATAAATGCAAGTCAACGGGGCTAAAACCCCTGTTTTCTAATCTGCTTTGCCTTACGCCTCGGATCACACACATGTTGTACTGCAATTTAAATGAAAACTAATGATGGGTGTTTCCACCACGCCTGTCATGTACTTTGAGATTTGTCAGTGTAGCGTGTTTAACTACATACTAGAATCAACACTGTTTGCTATCAGTTGTTAGATTCTGAGAAAAGATCCAAACGAGTTAACAATGAAGCTTCTATTATATATAAATATCTAGGCTATTATATATTCGATAGAAGTTCATATGCCAACGAGCTTAGTCTTATTTTTAATCCAAAGATGAATGTTTAATTCAAGATAATTAAATTTAATAGCAAAAGTTTATTTATTTAATCTGAAGTTAAAGGAATCTATGCTTTTTCAATAACCAGGGACTCATGATGCGGAAGTGTTTAATTTCAAGAAGAGAGTCAAGTTTTTAAAGTTCAGAATTTATTACTAACACTTTTAAAAAATGACAATTTGAAATTATAATTTAGAAATGACAATTTTTGAACAGACAATTTGATTTTAAAACTTGTTTTAAAGCAAACCTGTGACTGAATGGAAGCTAAATTGAAAATACGAGTTTTTGGATGCCTGAATGAATATCAGAAGGTTTCTTTCAGCGAGAGAAGTGTGTTCTGGGTTGGAAATTATGTTTTGCAGCTAAGTCGTTTCTTAGAAAGAACAGCATCAGACACAATCTGTCAAGAGTGTCTACCTCACCCATCCAGGAGACCCTCTTCTGGATCCGAGATGTCAGGTGGAGATGGTTTCCTCCAGGCACGAGGTTGGTAGAAGGACCTTAGTGCGACCAAAACGGTCCTGAGATGTCTCCATGGGTCACTTGACTGGTGGAACTATTTGCGTCTCTAAATCAATAACTCTGAAAGAGTTTTGCGTCAGCTGGTTATCGTTGCGTTTATTCAGAGCTGTTCTATCAACGTGATAGTACAGCTTAGTAGAGAATCGGGCGGCTGTCCCTTTTCTCCTGTTATGGTTCAAGAACGGAGCTTTTGCTGCGGGATTTTTAGTTTAAACAAAACCCTCAGAACACGCCCACTCTCAGCGTCAGACAGCTTGGTCATGAAATAAAGACGTGATGATTTTACCCTTCACCCTGGATATCCCTTTTGAATGAGGCTGGTTACGTGCCAGATGACCTTCTGGTTTGCTGAACACACATTAGGATTATCAACCATAATCATTATTATACCCAAAGCATAATAAGTAATTTCAGTAATTAAAATACATTAAAACTGAACCAAGAGATTATTTATGATGATTGTAATAACAGTAATAAAGTCAAGAGTTGTTGTCGTCTTCCTCCGCTTATCCGGGTCGCGGGGGCAGCATCCCAACTAGGGAGCTCCAGACCGTCCTCTCCCCGGCCTTCTCCACCAGCTCCTCCGGCAGGACCCCAAGGCGTTCCCGGACCAGATTGGAGATGTTACCTCTCCAATGTGTCCTGGGTCGACCCGGGGGCCTCCTGCCGGCAGGACATGCCCGAAACACCTCCCCGGGGAGGCGTCCAGGAGGCATCCTGACCAGATGCCCAAACCACCTCAACTGACTCCTTTCGATCCAGAGGAGCAGCGGTTCTACTCCGAGTCCCTCCCGAATGTCCGAGCTCCTCACCCTATCTCTAAGGCTGAGCCCGGCCACCCTACGGAGGAAACTCATTTTGGCCGCTTGTATCCGCGATCTCGTTCTTTCGGTCATTACCCAAAGCTCATGACCATAGGTGAGGATTGGGACGTAGATCGACCAGTAAATCGAGAGCCTGGCTTTCTGGCTCAGCTCCCTCTTCACCACGACAGATTGGCTCAGCATCCGCATCACTGCAGACGCCGAACCAATCCGCCTGTCGGTCTCCCGAGCCCTCTTACCCTCACTCGTGAACAAGACCCCAAGATACTTAAACTCCTCGGCTTGAGGTAGAACCTCTCCCCCGACCCAGAGTTGGCAAGCAACCCTCTTCCGGTCGAGAACCTTGGTCTCAGATTTGGAGGTGCTGATCCTCATCCCAGCCGCTTCACACTCGGCCGCGAACCTACCCAGCAAGAGTTGAAGGTCAGAGCTGGATGAAGCTAGGAGGACCACATCATCCGCATAAAGCAGAGACGAGATTCTCCTGCCACCAAACTTGACACACTCCACACCACGGCTGCACCTAGAAATTCTGTCCATAAAGGTAATGAACAGAACCGGTGACAAAGGGCAGCACTGGCGGAGTCTAACCCTCACCGGGAACAGGTTCAACTTACTACCGGCTATGCGGACCAAACTCACGCTCCTCTGGTAAAGGGACTGAATGGCCCTTAACAGAAAGCCACCCACCCCATACTCCTGGAGCGTCCCCCACAGGGTGCCCCTGGGGACACGGTTATAAGCCTTCTCCAAATCCACAAAACACATGTGGATTGGTTGGGCAAACTCCCATGCCCCCTCCATCACCCTTGCAAGGGTATAGAGCTGGTCCACAGTTCCACGGCCAGGACGAAAACCACATTGCTCCTCCTCAATCTGAGATTCAACTATCGATCGGACCCTCCTCTCCAGTACCTTGGAGTAGACCTTTCCATGGAGGCTGAGGAGTGTGATCCCCCTATAGTTGGAACACACCCTCAGGTCACCCTTCTAAAAGATGGGGACCACCACCCTGGTCTGCCACTCCACAGGAGCTGCCCCCGATGACCACGCAATGTTGCAGAGACGTGTCAACCACAACAGCCCTACAACATCCATAACCTTGAGATACCCAGGACAAACCTCATCCTGCCCCGGGGCTCCGCCGCTGTGTAGTTGTTTGACTACCTCAGCAACTTCTGCCCCCGAGATTGGACAGTCCATCCCCAGGTCTCCCGGCTCTGGTTCCTCCTCGGAATGCGCATAGGTAGGATTGAGGAGCTCCTCAAAGTATTCCTTCCACCGTCCGACTATAGCCCCAGTTGACGTCAGCAGCTCCTTCTCCAAATCCACGAAACACATGTAGACTGGTTGGGCAAATTGCCACGCATTCTCCAGGATCTCCCTAAGGGTATAGAGCTGGTCCAGTGTTCCACGGCCAGGACCAAAACCACATTGCTCCTCCTCAATCTGAGATTCAACTATCGATCGGACCCTCCTCTCCAGTACCTTGGAGTAGACCTTTCCATGGAGGCTGAGGAGTGTGATCCCCCTATAGTTGGAACACACCCTCAGGTCACCCTTCTAAAAGATGGGGACCACCACCCTGGTCTGCCACTCCACAGGAGCTGCCCCCGATGACCACGCAATGTTGCAGAGACGTGTACACCACAACAGCCCTACAACATCCATAACCTTGAGATACCCAGGACAAACCTCATCCTCCCCCGGGGCTCCGCCGCTGTGTAGTTGTTTGACTACCTCAGCAACTTCTGCCCCCGAGATTGGACAGTCCATCCCCAGGTCTCCCGGCTCTGGTTCCTCCTCGGAATGCGCATAGGTAGGATTGAGGAGCTCCTCAAAGTATTCCTTCCACCGTCCGACTATAGCCCCAGTTGACGTCAGCAGCTCCTTCTCCAAATCCACGAAACACATGTAGACTGGTTGGGCAAATTGCCACGCATTCTCCAGGATCTCCCTAAGGGTATAGAGCTGGTCCAGTGTTCCACGGCCAGGACCAAAACCACATTGCTCCTCCTGAATCTGAGGTTCAACAATCCGACGGACCCTCCTCTCCAGAACCCCTGAATAGACCTTACCAGGAACGCTCAGGAGTGTGATCCCCCTGTAGTTAGAACACACCCTACGGTCCCCCTTTTAAAATAAGGGAACCACCACCCGGATCTGCCAGTCCAGTGGGACTGCCCCTGATGTCCACGCGATATTACAGAGCGGCGTCAGCCAACACAGCCCCACAACATCCAGAGCCTTAAGGAACTCCAGGCGGAACTCATCCACCCCTGGAGCCTTGCCACAGAGGAGCTTTTTAACCACCTCAGTGACCTCAGCACCAGAGATCTGATAGGCCAACTCAAAGTCCCCAGACTCTGCTTCCTCACTGGAAGACGTGTCGGTGGGATTGAAGAGGTCTTCGAAGTATTCTGCCCACCGATCCACAATGTCCTGAGTAGAGGTCAACAGCACACCGTCCCCGCTATAGATAGTGTTGGTAGCGCACTGCGTTCCCCCCTAAGGTGCAAGATGGTGGACCAGAATCTTCTCGAAGCCATACGGAAGTCTTGCTCCATGGTCTCATCGAACTCCTCCCATGCCCGGGTTTTTGCCTCAGCGACCACCCGAGCTGCATTCCGCTTGGACTGCCGGTACCCGTCAGCTGCCTCTGGAGTCCCACAGGCCAAAAAGACCTGATCAGACTCTTTCTTCAGCTTGACAGCATCCCTAACCACCGGTGCCCACCAGCAGGTTTGGGGGTTGCCACCACGACAGGAACAGACAATCCTGCAACCACAGCTCCGGTCGGCCGCCTCAACTATGGAGGCATGGAACAGGGTCCATTCAGACTCAATGTCCCCCGCCTCCCCCGGAACATTTTGGAAGTTCTGTCGGAGGTGGAAATTGAAGCTCCTTCTGACAGGAGACTCTGCCAGACATTCCCAGCAGACCCTCGCGATACGTTTGGGCCTGCCTGGTCTGACCGGCATCCTCCCCCACCATCTGAGCCAACTCACCACCAGGTAGTGGTCAGTTGACAGCTTCACCCCTCTCTTCACCCGAGTGTCCAAGACATGCAGCCGCAGGTCAGATGAAACAACAACATAGTCGATCATCGAGCTGCGGCCTAAGGTATCCTGGTGCCAAGAGCACATATGGACACCTTCATGTCTGAACATGGTGTTCATTATCGACAAGCCATGACTGGCACAGAAGTCCAATAACAAAACACCACTTGAACTCAGATTGGGGGACCGTTCCTCCCAACCACACCTCTCCAGGTCTCACGGTTGTTGCACACGTGAGCGTTAAAGTCCCCCAACAGAACGAGGAATTCACCGGAAGGAGCGCTTTCCAGCACCCCCTCCAAGGTCTCCAAAAAGGGTGGGTAGTCTGAACTGTAGTTTGGTGCATAAGCACAGACCACAGTCAGAACCCGTCCCCCACACGTAGGCGGAGGGAGGCTACCCTCTCATTCACTGGGGTAAACCCCAACATACAGGCACCAAGATGGGGGGCAACTAGTAAGCCCAACCCTGCTCGGCGCCTCTCTGTGGGAGCAACTCCAGAGTGGTAGAAAGTCCAACCCCTCTCAAGGAAACTGGTTCCAGAGCCAGAGCCATGCGTTGAGGTGAGTCAGACTATATCTAGTCGGAACCTCCCAACCTCACACACCAACTCAGGCTCCTTCCCCACCAGAGAAGTGACATTCCATGTGCCAAGAGCCAGCTTCTGTAGCCGAGGATCAGACCGCCAAGGTCCCCACCCTCGACTACCACCCGTCACACACTGCACCCGACCCCTTTGGCCCCTCCTACGAGTGGTGAGCCCATGGGAAGGGGGACCCACGTTTCCTCTTCGGGCTGTGCCCGGCCGAGCTCCATGGGTGAAAGCCCGGCCACCAGGCGCTCGCCAACATGCCCCACCTCCAGGCCTGGCTCCGCAGGGGGTCCCCGGTGACCCACCTCCGGGCGAGGGAACACAGTTTCCATTTATATAATTCATCATAAGAGGTCTTCGGGCTGCTCTTTGTCTTATCCCTCACCTAGGACCTGTTTGCTATGGGTGACCCTACCAGAGGCAGAAAGCCTCAGACAACTTAGCTCCTAGGATCATTAAGACACTCAAACCCCTCCACCACAGTAAGGTGGCAGTCCAAGGAGATGACATGATAGTAATATAGAGAAAGAACTGCTGTTAATTCTGTAATTCATCAACTCCATTCCTAACTGAGGGGGTTCAGTAAGCTAACTGCAATGGGTCAGACAGTTATTATGCATCCCTTTTTTACAGACACATGCCTAAAACAGCCTAACAATCCCTTACACCAATTATTTTAATCTGCTTCACCTCAGAAAACGAGAAACCATTATCAGACTTTAGGAGCTAAGGCCCCACAAGAATGGCAAAAAGATTTACAAAAATCACAAAAAGCAACGGACAATAACTTTGCTAAGAGAACTGGTGATTTGCATGACAATGTAAAAGTAGAAAATGGAAGTAAATGATTTAGCACCTCTATGCTGGCTCTGGTGTCGTCATTTATCTTCACTCCTTTCTCCAGAAGGTTAATTTCACAGCTGAAACATTCCATTATTATGCTCTGCTCCATGTTCTACGAAGACATCAGTGTGTATTAGAAAGAGTTAGTGTTAAAGTCCCACAAAGCGCACAATGACAAATCTACAACTTGCTCTTAACACTTTCTTCTGTTATCAAAAGAGGCTTCACTCACACTGCTACTAGTTAATTACTGAGGTCTCAGAGAGCATACCATATTAAAATAACTCAGTGAGGCTCCAAGCAGAAATAAAGCCATCTAGATACCTTCAGATATGTTTTCAAGAGCCTCCTCAGAAGAGAATCCCCAATTTCTGAATAAATTCACCATGTCTCTATAAAATGTACAGTTACAGCTACTTTTCTTGCCTTAGGTGTTATGAATGTGTATGCATTAGACACTCACAGCCTCTCCTGCCGACTTAAGCTCTCTCAAACAGTCAGCGGCTACTTTCTGATGCTTCACATGCAAGGACAGAGCAGCCAAATCCAGAAGTAAGGTAACTCTGGAAATCCCAGATAAAACATGTTTTATACAGTCCACAACACTTGAGTGCAGTAATCTAAGCCACACTCAGCCCTGGGAAGTAGGTCTAAACAAAGGGAGATTTGATCTGTTTGGGGGTCACAGACCTTTGAGAGGGCAGCAGGGGTGTTGGGATCTGGGGGTTGATATCTTTCACAGGTGTAGTTGTAGTTTGGCGACATTCCATCAGTAGATAGAAAATCTCCTCAAGCTTCTGCAGATCTTCTGTCAGCAAGTTGCCATTCTCTAACCAGCTGCTACACCTGTACACATCCATACACACACAAATGCATCCAGGGCTCTCATTCATCAAACGTTCCCAGAAACTGTTCTATATTTCTTCCAACAAACTAAATTTAGTGTGTTTGTACAAACAGTAAACAACCTGATTTATAAAACATGCGGTGGCCTCTCGTACGCACGTTCCTCCGCACTCGTCTGATGATAAATCCCACCTGTGTGCAGCACCCAGGTGCTCGTGTCCGTTCTCAGTCATTTACATGTAGAAATGCCCTCAATGAACCATATTTGATCACGCTAGGTCCTGAGCCCCCCCCCCCCCCCCCCCCCCCCAAAAAAAACCCAACAAACAACTCTGCTGCCGAAGTGCAAAAGAACCAAACAAGTGTCAGAGGTTACAAACGTGGTCGAGACAGAGGAGACGTTCCTGTCTGGAATATGGTAAATGGCCTGTATTTGATATAGTGCCTTCTAGAGTCCTGGAACCCCCCAAGGCGCTTTACAACACAATCAGTCATTCACCCATTCACACACACATTCACACACTGGTGGGGATGAACTACAATGTAGTCACAGCTGCCCTGGGGCGCACTGACAGAGGCGAGGCTGCCGAGCACTGGCGCCACCAGTCCCTCCGACCACCACCAGCAGGCAACGTGGGTTAAGTGTCTTGCCCAAGGACACAACGACAGCGACAGACTGAGCGGGGCTCGAACCTGCAACCTTCCGATTACGGAATAAATAAAAGCTTTAATATGATAAATCGTAGACTAACAGGTTGGCATTTACATTTGAGGAGTCGTAAAGGATGGTGTTTGTTTTATTTGGAAATGTTGTGAGAGAGAGCAGCCTCTTCTGAGCTGTCCTTCAGTCTGGTTACCTTGGCAACAAGGGTTGTGTGATCAGGGAGCAGAGGAGGTTGTGGAGGTTCTCGTAGTTGTAAAAAAATAAGAACTGGTATCAGATTTGTGCGGTTTGCCTGTCGTTCCGCAAGCGGGGGGAGACTAGGGGTCTTAGCACACCTCTGTTGTTGCTTGGCTTCCTGGGGCTGGAGGCTAGGAGGCAGATCCGGCCGTCTGGTTGGGGTCTGGGGTGGTGGGTTGCTTTGTTCAGCATTGGACGGGGGAGCCTGCTCATCAGCACCCCAGCAGAAAGGGTCGAACTCTGGGAACCGGTAATGGTTGTACCCCATGTGCAGCAGTACCGGGACCAGAGTGAATAGGGTGTGTATGGGGAGCATGAGTGGGTGCCCGGCGTGCATTTTTGTAAGTCTTAGGTTGTATGTGTGTGTGTGAGCATGAGGGAGGGAGTGTGTGACTATGTTTGAATATGACTGTATATGTCAGGTGGAGCCTTTGACTCCTCCCTTCTCCTGGGACTTCTTTTGATAATATAGATCTTCGTCTCCCCTCCCCCTGCCACACCTGGTGTGGAGTGCGGTGCCTTGGTCTGCCTGGGTCGTGGCTCCCGGGTCAGGGGGTTTAAGATTTTTGGGGTCTGCCTGATCAACCCCGGTGGCTGCCTGGTGGGGTCTGGGTCTCCGGAGGGGGTGGTCGCCCCTGGGTCCCGGGTCGCTGGGTCCCGGGCTCGGCCGGCTAGGGAGTGGGAGGCTGCGGGCGGGCCTGTGGGCTTGCCGCTGATATCTCCCGGGACTCTGCCGGCTGCTGGTTGTGGCCCCCCCGGGGCGATCCTCTGCGCCTCTCGAGGGGGGGCAGGGGCCTTTCTGGTTGCAGTCTCCTTGGGGTTCCTGTGTTCTGGGACTTGGAGCTCCCCCCGTCTCTTACACATCTTTGGGGGGCAGATCTGTGGCCCCTCACACTCTCTATTGGACGCTCCTATAGAGAAACCTTACATAAACAAGCGCGTGTACACACACAGGTGCTCACATGGTGCTTTCAAAAGTATGGGCTTGGGCACGTTCAACACATGTCTTAAGACTGTCGTTGCCACTAAATGCACTGTGATTTATTATCGTGTGGTTGTTCAGTAAAACGATGTTGATTTTATATTTCTTCAAGTTGACGCAGTGATAGTGTGCTCCTGATGTATTGTTGTGTGTCCCCTTTTTTTTCTTTTCTTTCTCTTTCTGCAGGTCTAGAAGCAGACTCTTGTTCATTATTGTTTATCTTTGTGCTGTGTGTGTGTATAACATCCACAACATTTTTAATTTAATAAATAAAGTAAGCTGAGTTTTATCTTGATGCTGCAGTTTTATTTCATACTTCAGTACCTAACCCTAACCAGATGAATCTCGTTCAGTATGCAACAATAAATCTCCTAACTGACTGTTAATTAATTTCAAAGCTAAAAGTAAACATCCATATTTTACCTTTTTGGGTTAGATGTTTAGGCTAATGAAGATGAAATGTGTCATTAGTAGAAGCTTTAGAGCTTTGACTGTACCGGAGCTCTGGTTCTGCGTGGGAATGGTCTACAGACAGGAATCATGCAATAAGAGTAAAAAAGAGCCTTTTAGTGCTTTTTAAACAGCTAAACAGCAAACTTGACTGGGGTTGATCAAGAGCTTGTTTGTCGACGGCTACAGGGCAGCTCGATGGAACGGGCTCTTGTGATGGCTGCACAAACACAAAACTGGCTGAAAAACAATTCATCTGCTGTCAAAGCAGGAGGGAAACACACAGAGTAAACGTTACAGAATCTTCTCTTACATTTTTAGCTTCTCCATTTTGTAAATGACTGCTAACATTGTGTTCTGGCAGCTGGCTTTAAGGAGGAGATCGTCGTCCAACAGCTGGTGTTTTATCTATACGGAGCAAAACACAACACAACAAGGTGCCTTTCAGATGCAATTAAAAGCAGCCTAGAAATAACCGCTCATTCTACATGAATACATGTAGCCATTAGAAAGCTGGTTACCATTAATTTGTAGAGTTCTGGGTACTTTTGTGGAGTATGTGTCTTGAAGAAGTCTTCTTTAATTTTGGCATAACTTGCAGCCTCCTCCAGCTGTCCAGAGTCTACAAGGCATCGGACCAAGTGCCTGCACAGAAAACAGACCTGAGATTAAATACAACAAATCCAGTTAGAGCTTTACAAACTCCACATTTATTCATCATTTAGCCATATAGAATGTAGTGTTGGAGAAGTCCAATAAGGTCATTTTCCCACAGCCTGCCTCAGCAATGTCAGAGGTCAACAAGACACTCAAGCGTCCGGGAGGTTTCTTCTGCCAGGAATATTGTGTTCTTCCCGGTACCCAATCTCTCTAGCTGCACCATCTGGATGCGCAGACACAACAACCTCCAAGGTAGGGCTGCAACAAACGATTATTTGGATAATCGATGAATCGGATGGGGTCTCGACACGATTAATCGATTAATCTGATTACATGGGGAAATTTTTAAAAACTGCTAGGGAAATGTTATTTCTCTCCTTCCTTCACTTTATTTAACACAACATTATTAGAAAACAGTTCAATAGCAGAAAAACAACATGCCATCACCTAAATTGTCTTATAAGGTGTATAGACAGAGACCCTAAGCTACATCTATCTGTGACCTAAAATGCTTGGTCCAAGTTAAACAGCTTAAGGGCAATTCTCATCTGTTTTGCTTGATCTCATCTGTTGACATTTATTTTAAATGTAATTAAACATAGGCTGTGAATTAATCAAAATTGATCACTATTTCCAAAAATGACTGAAAAAATACCAAATAAAACAAAAGTAAATGAATGCCATCCTCCTTGTGATGATGCCCTGGGCAACTGCCATAAAGTCACATCAAGAAATGCTGCTGATCATTCCAATGATCCCAAATAGACTCACATTAGGCCACATGAAAGCAACTGAACCCAAAAATATATTAACCAGTATATAACTGCACTCTCACACAACACGCCTGCAGCAACAGTTAGGACTCCTCCCTCCCTTTTAAAAGCGTTTTTGCTTCTGAGGACATTGTGGTTGTAAAACCACATACTAGTAGTCTGGCCCCGGTGTGATCAACCAGTTTCTGCGGGAATGTGACGGCGGAACCAGGGCCAGATTAACACTTTGTTGTACCCTGGGCAACAATATTCAAGGGCTCCATCATCACGACCCAAGGATCACCATAATGTGGTCACATACAGAATATTTTACTGTAATATGCAGTAAATATACTCAATACTTGAATGCCTGACAACACGTAAGCCACCCAGAGTAACCTTTGACCCACCTCGTGTGGACTGACCAATGAGGAGAGGGTCTTAACTTGAGGCCCTCTCTTCATTGGTCAGTCTGCATGAGACTGACTCTCAACTGACGTTCAGTTGTAGGCAGCGAAGCGTCTCTGTGCAGCGCAAAAGCCCGGGTGGACAGTTTGTTTAATGTAGGGTGACCATATTTCCATTTCCAAACAAGAGGACAGGGGATCTGTGCCTATGACGTCACACTATGGCAACGCCACAAAAACCATGTTGGGACCCATTTTTTGTAAGAACTAAATTAATATCAGATTCTGCCAATTAAAGGGCTCTAAAACAATTCATATGTAAATATTTTGCATATTTAATGCAAAATCTAATTTTTCTGCTTTAGTGCTGCAACAAGTTTTTATTAATAATAAATTATTATACCTTTTGTTTTACTACAGCATCAGTAAGCTTCCTGTGCACAGATTATTAAGGATACTTGTTTCAGCTGTGAGATTAGACAATAGGATCAATGAAAAAAATAAGTTGTCACACACTCCATGGAAACTTTCAGAGAATCCACAAATAGTGGCTTTCAAATGGTTTTGTTACTTTTTGCAAGTTTATAAAAGAAGCAGATGAGACAGCATGTCTGATAATTTAGTTTTTCATCTGATAATATTAGAACATGTCAGTAATGTCTGAGGGGCTTTTATAAACACCATATAACTAACACTAATGGAGAGGGCATGAATTACACAGAGGCTTCTGGGGAGCCCAGTTATTGGGGGGGGGGGGGGGGGGGGGGGGGGCATTTTGCCTTGGCCCCCAAAATGTCTTGAAACGGCCCTGGGTGTGTGACTGAGTTTTGAAGGTGATCTGAATTGTATCAGCTGTATAAATATGACATGTGTATAACTTATTGTTTTTAACTGGTAAAAACGTGTATGGAGATAAATCTACCTACATTTTACTTTTCAACACTTTGTTTTGTTTTCTTGTTTTTATTTAACTATTTTCCTGTCCTGTCTGTCTCTCATCTTCCTGCATCTCCTCTTAATTCTCCAGAAAATCTGTTGCCTGGATTCTTACCTTTTCACCTCATCAGTTACTTTCGAGCAGATCAAAGGAATCTCCTGACCGAAAAGCTCAGAGCGCGTTTTCGATGCTGCGTGAGGTGACATCACCACAGCACAGGTGATGAGCTCCGCAGTAGCGCGCTTCAGGCACAAATAAGACAGAAAATAGAGAACATGTGCGGACATGAATGATCGTGTGCTAATTATAGTTTTTTGGTTGCGCCACTTTGAGAATGGACCATGCGCTGGAAGCAGCTGCCTGGATCGCTGCGCAACAATGCGGAACCGGTTCGCAGCAGCGCAAGTCTGCCGGCTCTCCCTCGCGCTGATCTGCCGGTACCGGCTCTCCCTCCCGCTGATCTGCCGGCTGTCCCTCGCGCTGATCTGCCGGCTCTCCCTCGCCGCTGATCTGCCGGCTCTCCCTCGCGCTGATCTGACTTGCTCTGGTCTGCGCGCAATGGCGGGCGGGCGGGAGGGGGGGGGCGCTTTTGGAAGAGTTGTGCAACACAACGAATCGATGACGCAATTCGTTGCCAACGCTTTTAGTAATCGATTTTCATCGAATTTATCGATTCGTTGTTGCAGCCCTACTCCAAGGTCATGAAAGAGACTTACTCTTTTAATAAAATGATTCTTATCCTGTTTCATAAATGATGTCTTTCAGTCTGCAGCTTGTTTGCAATCATTTTCTGTTTTATCTAAAGTGATTTAATAATGCCCTGACTGCATCACAGTAAGTGTTGATTATTTCAGATCTTAAACACACTAAATGAGTCTACTTGATGATTTAATAATGATTCATTAACAGGTACATTCACATATTAATATAAGTGTATTAACTAATATATTAAATGAAAGGAGCTATCTAAGCGTCCCAGGACGGGGAGTGTTTGAGGACACGTATCAAAATATCTCAAATCTGGTTGGTTCAAAACTTATCAACAACGAACAATAAAGAGGAATCACTTCCTATAATCCCCAGTTCCAGCTCATGTTGAATTACCATCCTTTGGGGGATTAAACCAACATTTTCAGTGGATTAATTTTAGCGACTTAAAGAATCATCGTTTTTAATCAGTCAATTATTACTTGCTAAATCCACCACCCACTCATCAGATGTTAAACTGTCCGCCAGAAGCCACCTGGGATGTAACTTCTGACCAGTCGTGCTGAGGGCCCTACGATCTTCAGATACATCAGAAGTCCACTCACTCCCTTTGCTGAGGCAGCTTCACTTGCAGACCGGACCCCAAGAACTTCCACTAAACGGGAGCTTAGGCTAGTCATGATGGCATGAGAAGGGTTAATATTAATGTGATAACTTGTATGATTACATCAAACAAACAGCCACATTTATTTAATAAACCAGACATCACACCTTTCTGAGTCACTTAGTGAAGCTCTTAAACACACCACGGGCCTCATTTATCAAGCTTGCTTACGCACAAAACGGGGTCGGAAAACTGCGTAAGCAACTTTCCACGGAAACTTTGGGATTTATGAAAGAAAACTTAGTGGAAAAATGTGCGCAACTTTAAGTTGACTAAGGACCTGGCTTACACACATGTTGGACATGGAGAGCACCTGCAGTGCTGCTGCTGAAAAGGATAAAGTTGTCACGGTCCGTGGTGAGCCTCCTGCATGTAACCTGTTTTTCTCTGAGCATTGTTTCAGGTGGCGTGTCTGAGAGTCTCCAGCTGCAGCTAATCCTGTCATCACGGTCCAGGGGATTTAAGGAGCAGTGTGACACTTCACTTCGCTGGATGATTACTCTGTTTTGGGTAGCTCTAGCCTTTGACCTGTATTGATCCTGTGTTTTTTCTAGTTCCAGTTTGGTTACCTGATCTTGTAAATTTTTGCTGGATTTCCTGTCGCCAGAAAAGACCCTGACTACTCTTCCCTGCTCTGCTCCAGGTTTCACTCCACACTCCACTATCTCCATACCAGCTCAGATTCCTGCAAACCAGATCACGCTGTCTCCTCCCCTGGCCGCCCGCTCTCAGCCGCTCACCTGCCCTCACTAAGCCTCTGCTCCTACCTCCTCTCTGGTTCAACAGTTCCTTCACTTTCTGGAGCCTTCCTGCTCACCCGGACTTGACCTAGCCCTTCCTGAGGCTCTCACCACTATCTGCAATCAGTAACCTCCACTCCTAAGATTATCCTCCGTCATTCCCGCCATATACTCACTCTGTCTCCCTCCTCAGAATCCTCTCCTGGAATCTTGCTGCCAGCCTGCACGTCGTCTGTTCCCGTTCCTCTCATTAAATAATAAAAACGTTTTACTTACTTGCCGGTTTGTGATGATTCTGCATGCCGTGGGTCAAGAAACTCCCACCCAACATGACAAAAGTTATGAAATCCTGCAGCATTATCACACAGAACAAGACCCCCACACGCACACACACGCGCGCACACACGCACACGCGCACGCATACTCACGCACGCACACACACACACAGACACACACACACACAGCCTGAAGCGCAGAATACAGAATGCAGAATATCAGCAGGGGGACAGATTGAGACAGAATGTCATGCATCTGTGACAGTGTGTGTGTGTGTCCTGTCACTGTGACCCGATTGACCATGCGCCCTGGCTACTTGAACAAGGAAGATCTCTGTTTGGCTGACTGGTTAGCACATGTGACTTTCACCTGGGAGTCTGGGGATTGAATCCCGATTGGACCATTTTTTTTATATCCGCCACAGATCTCTCTGAAGAATTCACAACATTGACGGCTTCAGCAACGCTGTGCCACTCCGTGGATTTTCTCTTATTTGTTTTGCAACAGCACTTCCTTTCATTTCTCCACCTCATCCACAGGTACCTCAATTTCTGCTTGTGAAATTGAGCTTCCTTGATCTGCCTTGATCTACGGTCACCATGTCATTGGCGGAGCGCTGAAACAGCCGGCTTATGTATATGCATGAGATCCACAAGGCACTTTTCATTGACTATTTATGGCAGTTAGTGGGCGTGGTAAGAGCGGGATGTGACTAAAAAGCAGCTGTGAAACATTCTAGATAGTTTCTGATTCATGAAGCGGAGATTGCGTGCAGCTGTGCGTACTCCATGTTTGATAGATCACAAACCTACTTGGCGTGAGTACATTTTTTTTGCTGAGCTTAAGTACGGTTTTAGTAAGGATTCTACGCCATGTTTGATAAATGAGACCCCAGGTCATGTTTCATCAGAGCTCATCCATTGTCTCCTCTGATATCACTGTGAATCACCATCTATAATCATCATCATTAATATAGTAATAAACTGATTTTCATAAACTATATTTTTGTCTCTGTGTCAAATTATTATAGTGCTGTTTCCCCGATTAACCAAAGTACAGAGTTTCATCAGCAATCGAATATTAAAGGCTCAATAATATTGATAATCTATATTTTTATGGAATATTACATTTTATTGAATACCTTTATATTCTATTGACAATTTATTAAAAGTACCTACCTACAACATGTTACAAGAACAAAGCTGCAGCTACCGCTGTGGGCCAGCGGTGGCGCTAAATCACCACCTCGTAGCCGCCTGCCTCAGACAACATAAAGGTGACGTCACTTGCCTCATCCAATCATATTCACAAAGTGTCAGTAAGCTAGCTGCTAGCCTGCCACGGAGCAAGTTGTTCAGCATGTGTTACCATGGCGACTGGGAGGGCTTTCCGGCTAGCCGTGTTCGTAAAACCGATTTAGGGGCGTTTAAACCGGTATTCTCAAAAGGAAAGTTGGATTTGGGAAAATCTCGCTTTCTGGATCACCCCCCAGACTGTTTTTCTCATAAACAAATAAAAGGTAACAAAAACAAAAGGCTGTGCTGAATAAACCACTCATTGCACCAGTAAACCGTCCACGAGGACGAAAATGGTTCAAACTAGACAAGATGATGAGAATCACTTGCATGATGAGCTCAGCTCTCCAGCTGTAGTCCTGCTCAGCCACCTCCTCCAGACTTTGCACCATCTGCTTTAAGGATGGGACCACATGGAAGCACTTGTTTGGATGCAGGAGAGGATGTGCTGCCTTCAAGTACAGCACTGAGGCGTTGAACACCATGAAATGATACCTGTAAAACACAAACCCCATGTGGAAAATTAAAACAGAAACTCTCCTACTAGAACTCTCTTGGTCAAAGTGACATCTGTGCATGAACAGGTCCTGCCTAATGTTATTGAGCAGCAGCCCCAACTAGCTTTTCTGAATTCTGGGAGCTGATTTAGACAAAACAGCATGAACACACTTTCTCAGTAATGTATTACTTGAGAGTGAGTTAAGCGTCAGTGTGAGCTCGACCTTTGGTGCTCATCGAGCATGCCCTTTCAGTCCATTTATTGGTTAACTAGCCAAAAGCCTCCGTAGCGACTCTGCATGTGAAGGCTATGATTATATCTGCAAGAGCATTTTACACAGCGTCTAACCAGAGAACATATTAAAGTTCTACTGTTAGGTCTGTGTTAACCCTCTCAGGCTCAAAATAAGTTCTGATAAAAGGACGAACAACTAAGTCCTTCAGGGGTACTTCTGAGTTACAAATGCTCATGAAATACGTGTGTGGAGTAACCAGGTAGGTAGGTTTTAACGTTGTAAATCTGCAACGCCTGCCTCCAGAGGGTTAAAGGGGCTTTCTTTAAGTGTTTCTCTGAGAAGGTTCCAGATAAATATTTTACCCACTGCAGACTTTCTCTACCGTTCATCATGAACTGAACTCAAAGTCTGAAACAGATTATTTTGCAGGGCGTTGTGGATTGGTGGGCAGAATACTTCGAAGACATCCTCAATCCCACGACACGTCTTCCAGTGAGGAAGCAGAGTCTGGGGACTGAGTTGGGCTCTCAAATCTCTGGTGCTGAGGTCACTGAGGTGGTTAAAAAGCTCCTCTGTGGCAGGGCTCCAGGGGTGGATGAGACCTGCCCAGAGCTTCTTAAGGCTCTGGATCTTGTGGGGATGTGGGGCAGGACCTCATCCCTGACCCGGAGAAAGCGTTCTACCCTTTTCTGATTCAGGCCTATCGGGCTCTGCAATATCGCGTGGACATCAGGGGCAGTCCCACTGGACTGGCAGATCCGGGTGGTGGTTCCCTTATTTAAAAAGGGGGACCGTAGGGTGTGTTCTAACTACAGGGGGATCACACTCCTGAGCCTTCCTGGTAAGGTCTATTCAGGGGTTCTGGAGAGGAGGGTCCGTCGGATTGTTGAACCTCAGATTCAGGAGGAGCAATGTGGTTTTGGTCCTGGCCGTGGAACACTGGACCAGCTCTAAACCTTTAGGGGGATCCTGGAGTATGCGTGGCAATTTGCCCAACCAGTCGACATGTGTTTTGTGGATTTGGAGAAGGCGTTTGACCGCGTCCCTCGGGGGGCCCTGTGGGGGGTACTCCGGGAGTATGGGGTACCAGGCCCTCTGATACGGGCTGTTAGGTGCCTGGATGACCGGTGTCAGAGCTTGGTCCACATTGCCGGCAGTAAGTCGGGCTCGTTCCCAGTGAGAGTTGGACTCCGCCAAGGCTGCCCTTTGTCAGCGATTCTGTTCATAACCTTTATGGACAGGATTTCTAGGTGCAACCGAGGTGTAGAGGGCATCCGTTTTGGTGGCCTGAGGATCAGGTCTCTGCTTTTTGCAGATGATGTGGTCCCGTTGGCTTCATCAGAACGTGATCTTCAGCTTTCGCTGGAGCGGTTCACAGCCGAGTGTGAAGCAGCTGGGATGAGAATCAGCTCCTCTAAATCTGAGAGCATGGTCTTGATTCGGAAAAGGGTAGAATGCCTTCTCTGGGTCAGGGATGAGGTCCTTTGCCCAAGTGAAGGTGTTCAAGTATCTCGGGGTCTTGTTCACGAGTGAGGGAAAACTGGAGCATGAGATCGATAGGCAGATTGGTGCTGCATCTGCAGTGAAGCGGGCGTTGTACCGGTCTGTCGTTGTGAAGAGAGAGCTAAGTCAGAAGGTGAAGCTCTCGATTTTCCGGTCAATCTACGTTCCTACCCTCACCTATGGTCATGAGCTTTGGGTAGTGACAGAAAGAACGAGATCGCGGATACAAGCGGCCGAAATGAGTTTTCTCCGAGGAGTGGCTGGGCTTTCCCTTAGAGATAGGTTGAGAAGATCGGTCATTCGGGAGGGGCTCGGAGTAGACCCGCTGCTCCTCCACATTGAGAGGAGCCAGTTGAGGTGGTTTGGGCATCTGGTCAGGATGCCTCCTGGATGCCTCCCATGAGAGGTTTTCCGGGCACGTCAAACCGGGAGGAGACCTAAAGGTAGACCCAGGACACGCTGGAGGGACTATGTCTCTCACCTGGCCAGGGAACGCCTTGGGATTCCCCCGTAGGAGCTGGCCCAAGTGGCTGGGGAGAGGGAAGTCTGGGCCTCTCTGCTTAGGCTACTGCCCCCACGACCCGACTCCGGATAAGTGGATGAAAATGGATGGATGGATAGAGATTCTTTTGAAGAGATAATCCATGCCAACTGACAGGTGTGCCTTAGACGGGTCACCAGGTGCCTTAATTCCACACTATCAAAGATCTAGAAGCCCTTCAAGAGGGCCTCATTCTAATTCTGATTTATTAATAAGAAGGTGGTCAGACGTGTTGTAATGAAGCTCAGGTTACATTTGATCGTGTTCAGTTCCATATTAAATTACTGTGCAGCAGATGCAATGTGGTGTGTAAGACTTTCTTTACAAGGACAAATGAGTCAACGTTCCTGCTACATTAACCACAAAGTAGAACACACTTCTGGGAGGTTGCTTACCTTGGTTCCTTCTTTGAAATTTCCACTGCTTTTAGAAAACACACCGCAGCCTCTTTAAAGTCTCCCTAAAATAGAAAATAAAATCTAAAACAGAAGCTAAGAAAGTCATAAATACTGAAAGATGAGTAAACAAGTCATTTATATTCAAAAGAGCCGAAACAACAGAAACCAATAACTCCTAAAATGACTTCAAAAGATGAAATAACTAAAGCTTCATCGTGAGTGAAAACAGGAACAGAACCCTTCTACAAAAGTCTGCATCAAAGTCTGACACACACACACACACACACACACACGCGCGCGCACACACGCACACACACACACGCACACGCACACACACACACACACACACACACACACGAGTTAAAGCGATGTGTCTACTGTCCTCACCTTCAGCTGGCCTTGGGCGAGAAGGGCTCGGCATGTCAGTAGATTCTCCGGTGGATTCCCCTCAAAGTACATCTTCAGACACGCTGCACCCGTCTCCACACACCCCAGCTGCAAACGCAAAGGGAAACAGGGATCACACAAAAAACACAACATGTGCATTTTTATTAGGACCAGTGTTTGTGTTGCTTTAGTTTGGTACATTATTAAATAATTCAGTCTAGTGTTTACGAGATTTGTGGTACTGAGGACCAGGGGCGGCGTTAGGCCCGGCTACTTGGGCTGAAGCCCCGAATCTTTAATGAAAAGCCCCGGATCTCAAACGTGGAAGTAACATGCAGTACCAAAGTCCAACAGAGAGGGCGCAGCTAGCAGTAGTTTGTATACAGCCTGCCTGAGCCTCCCAATAATACCTAGCTGCGGACATAGCCCCGGCCAAACACGCCACCGGCCAAGCACGCCCCCGGCACAACCCCCAAGCCCCCGGCCAAACACCCCCCCACCCCCCACCCCGACAAAACACACACCCCTGTTGAGCTACCCCCGAGCTCAATAACGGCGGCCCTCCCAGCGAACAACACAATTGAAAGAAAATAAATAAAGAAATTGTAATAATGTAATTAAACAGACAGGACTCCAGGTTTAAATATGAATGTATGGATTTTTTTGGCCATCCCCAGTGAGATTATTTTTGTTTCTTGCATACACACTTTATGGCCATCCCCAGTGAGATTATAAAAACACAGATACCACCAACAAAAAATCAGTTGCCGTACAGTAATCAGTTGCCGGACAATAGGCACAACATACCTATGCTTACTGAAGTTAGCAGGTGAGTAATGTATGTGCAAGTGTTTATTTTAAATGCAATAAAATTAAATATCAGGAAAAAGTAATTAGTGGTAATCGTTTTAATTAACTCCTTAAGCCCACTAGCCTCCATTTTTGGGAGCACGCCTCCTACAGCAACATTTAACTTTCAACCATTTGTTATTACAGGCACTAACAGTAGGTCTAAGTTCATATGAGTGAGTAGTTAATATTTATGTTACTATTTAAGAATTATTGGCAGTGGGGGAAGACGTCATGGATGCAAATTTTTTAATATAATTTTTAATAGGCTACATGCAAGCCTTTTGGCCAAAATAAACATAACAATAGGCTATTTATTTGACCGTTTATGACTCCTCATCTAATTATATAAAAAAAATTGCGTCCATGACGTCTTCCCCCACTGCCAATAATTCTTCATTTTATAAAAAAGTGTTTCAGAAAAAAATTAAGATTGCGCTATCTATCAAACTATGTCTTAAACGTTCAAATTTCTAGTACAAAATCTTCGCAAGTTGTAAAAATATAAATCTGTCTTTACCTGAACCGTCATTTCCATCTCTTGCAACATGCATGCGAGTTCTCGTCTTCGTACATGCACGCGTGTTTTGTACATAGGGGCGTGTTTGGCCGGGGCTACGTCCGCAGCTAGACCTTACTCGAGCCTCCACCACAGAAGAAGCCCTTCAGCAGCCGGCTTCTTCTGCAGTGCCTGTTTTTTCTACACTCTGCCTGAAACGCATGTGTGAAGATGGACATAAGGACGTTTTTTATACCAAAAATACCGCAACAGAACCCCAGCTTTGATGAGACTGGTGTTGACTCGGGTTTGTGAGTCTTATTTGAAAATATTTGTTGTGCTGCTGGTTTGCCTAAAGTTAGCTTACTATCAGGTAACGTTGATGGAGAAAGAAAGGGAATATTTACTATCATCTCACACTAAACACTAACAGGAACAATATTCTGCCCTGAATATGCTTAATATGTAGCTTCAGATTAAAAATTATGTGGTACAAGACAAATATATAGAGTATATATGTCGATGATGTTGACTAGTGCGTGTCACGCGTGTGTGCGCGCGCGCATGTTAAGCCCCGGATCTTCTTCAGTCCTTAATCCGCCCCTGCTGAGGACAGTGAGTCCTCTAAAGTGAGCTGTTTTCTCACAGGGGCCATGTGCAGTGTTTAAGGGTAGATCAACGCACAGAAGATATTTTATTCGGGGCTGTCAACAGATTTGAGTTTGTTGGATATTTATTTGTTTCACTTCTGTGATATAAAACAAGCTCTAAGGTTCTGATCTAACTGAAGGCAACAAAAGCCGCATCTGGTCCTAGAGCAGAAAGGCGGACACTTGTGAAACTCCAGGAGAAGTGCTGAATATGTGGAGCAGGTATCAAAAACCTCACCTGGAGAGCTGTTTCTGCACAAACGACGTACATGTCCGGCAAGCTGCGGCAAGCTCTTGCTGCTGCTGAGCTCTTCATCAGAGCAAAGGCGGACTCCAGAGCTCGAGGGTCTGTAAACGTGTTAAATAAACACGGTAAACACTTTTAGTCGGGCCTATCGGGCTTTTCTACAGATATTTACAGCACAAACCTTTGGTTTCCGACGCGTCGGCCAGAAGCTTGCGGATTTTTCGCTCCATAGTTAGCTTAAGAGCCAACGGTCACCTTTAACAAGTTACAGTACTAGCTAAACGGTTTCTACTTTCCCGCCTTCGGCGCTTCGGCCGCTGGTTGCTGGAGAAACTGTTGCTAAGCAACCGAGAACCAAGCTACGGCAGGAGATTACGATAAAATTATGTGCCCTAACATCAAGAGATAATAAATAAAGTAATATTTAGGTCAATTTAACCCTTTACAGGTGGCCAGGACGCTGTAATAAATTTTTGGCAAGGGAAATGATCGTTTGTTGCCATTTTTGAGGTGTTTATGAATGTGGAAGAGACCCAGCATCCTGTGATAAGACTAATAACATCAAGAGATAATAAATAAAGTAATATTTATGTCAATTTAACCCTTTACAGGTGGGCAGGACACTGTAATCAATTTTGGCGAGGGAAATGATCATTTGTTGCCATTTTTGAGGTGTTTATGAATGTAGAACAGACCCAGTATCCTGTGATGAACTGATAACATCAAGAGACAATAAATAAAGTAATATTAGGTAAATTTAACCATTTACAGGTGGCCAGGACACTGTAATCAATTTTTGGCAAGGGAAATGATCATTTGTTGCCATTTTTGGGGTGTTTATGAATGTGGAAGAGACCCAGTATCCTGTGATAAGACTAATAACATCAAGAGATAATAAATAAAGTAATATTAGGTCAATTTAACCATTTACACGTGACCAGGACACTGTAATCAATTTTTGGCAAGGGAAATTATCATTTGTTGCCATTTTTGAGGTGTTTATGAATGTGGAAGAGACCCAGCATCCTGTGATGAACTGATAACATCAAGAGATAATAAATGAAGTAATATTAGGTAAATTTAACCATTTACAGGTGGCCAGGACATTGTAATCAATTTTTGGCAAGGGAAATGATCATTTGTTGCCATTTTTGGGGTGTTTATGAATGTGGAAGAGACCCAGTATCCTGTGATAAGACTAATAACATCAAGAGATAATAAATAAAGTAATAGTAGGTCAATTTAACCATTTACAGGTGGCCAGGACACTGTAATCAATTTTTGGCAAGGGAAATGATCATTTGTTGCCATTTTTGAGGTGTTTATGAATGTGGAAGACACCCAGCATCCTGTGATGAACTGATAACAGAGATAATAAATAAAGTAACATTTAGGAAATTTAACCATTTACAGGTGACCAGGACACTGTAATCAATTTTTGGCAAGGGAAATGATCTTTTTGGCCATTTTTGAGGTGTTTATGAATGTGGAAGAGACCCAGCATCCTGTGATAAGACTAATAACATCAACAGATAATAAATAAAGTAATATTAGGTAAATTTAACCATTTACAGGTGGCCAGGACACTGTAATCAATTTTTGGCAAGGGAAATTATCATTTGTTGCCATTTTTGAGGTGTTTATGAATGTAGAAGACACCCAGTATCCTGTGATGAACTGATAACAGAGATAATAAATAAAGAAATATTTAGGAAATTTAACCATTTACAGGTGACCAGAACACTGTAATCAATTTTTGACAAGGGAAATGATCATTTGTTGCCATTTTTGAGGTGTTTATGAATGTGGAAGACACCCAGCATCCTGTGATGAACTGATAACAGAGATAATAAATAAAGTAATATTTAGGAAATTTAACCATTTACAGGTGACCAGGACACTGTAATCAATTTTTGGCAAGGGAAATGATCATTTTTGCCATTTTTGAGGTGTTTATGAATGTGGAAGAGACCCAGCATCCTGCGATAAGACTAATAACATCAAGAGATAATAAATAAAGTAATATTTAGGTCAATTTAACCCATCATTTTTTGCCATTTTTGGGGTGTTTATGATGATACAGTAGACAGTATGAGTACAATAACATCAACAGATAATACATAAAACCCTTATTTTGGTCAATTTTAGCCTCCATGAAAAACTGAGCGATTCAATCACTTTTTGGCCAATAAAATGTCAATTTTGTTGTCTAAAATTAAATCATCAATAAAGAATTTAAAGATATTTTGAGGAGTTTCTTATAGGTAAACAGGAGGGTACGGTCACTATTTGGCAAGTGACAATCTTAATTTTATGTGCTGAAGTGCTTTTATCTTTGTTACATTTAAATAGAGCAAAGTAATGTTTATACTATATACTATATGTATATACTATCTATAGATAGTAACCTACACAGTGTCAGTAAAGCCAAAGCTTGATCAGTTTAAATACTATTTTTCAAGTAAAAATGTGCCCCAAACTAGTTAACTGTGGCTCCATGTCAAGTGGACTAAAGAAAGGAAGGGGAAAAAATCAAATTGCTGGAGAATTGTTTATTTCCATTTATACAACGTTTGACTTTACATTCAATACAGGGCGCCATTTTACACTGTTTATTTCTTTTTTAGTATCAAGGCTGTAACAAAGAAAGCCAGTTCTTACCAAAAACCATCTTTCAATCGCAAATATTGCAAAAAGGATTAATATGTTTTAAGTTTTGTTACGTTTAAAGCGGCACATGCGCGCTTTGTTGTTTACAACCAAAACTTTCTTGAAGCTAAAGCTGAAATAATGGCCAAAGGAGGAGACGGCAGCGCTCAGGACATTTTTTATCCCTCAAAGAAGACAAAGTCGAAAGTACGGGCATTTTTTGGATATCTGAAGAATGCCAAGGGAGTTTATAGAAGACGGCTATCCTGTTTGCAGCACGTGCAGAAAAAGTGTCTGTGAAAGGCAGCAATGCTTCAAATCTCATGACACATCTGCGTGACTATCACCCATAACTCTACAGTCAACGCAAGGCAAGTTAACGTTTTAGCTAAAATGCGTGATCCGAGGATTTGGGTTGAGGGAGAATGCAACGAGTTGCTATGTAAAGCAGCCGCAGCGCCGCTACCTGCATATAAACCGTCGCGGACACCCCCATGTTGAAATGACGCTATGCATTACGGGGCTCCCAGGGGCAGATAAGAGTTGGTCTCTCTCTGAGAATAATTATAAATTTATGACATTTTCCCGAATCTGCAAAGCTCACTGGAAGGACACAAAACGAGGACAATGTTTTCCTGATATAGGGTTTATTACTCAAGTAAGGGTAAAAAAGTATCTGATTAGAAGGCTACTTGAGTACTTAGTATCATCTGGTCTAATATTTTTAAAATGATTACATCAAACAGACAAAAAATAAGAAGTTATGGGCAAATATTGGTATTTTTAAGACTAAAGGGGAAAATGTAAACAAATAAACAACATAATTACAAAATAACACATTTTAGGCAAAATTTAGACACAAACCGAGGACGATATTTCCTGACATACAGGGTTTATTTAATTGTGTGAAAATGTAGCACGTTTAAAAAAAATACCGCGATAATACCGAAAACCGTGGTAATTTTGGTCACAATAACCGTGAGGTTAAATTTTCACACCGTGATTACCTTCAATGGTGTCTGTTTGTTGCAACCACCAGGTACAAAAACAAACTTGTTTTATCCGACTATTTTTCTGTCCTGTCTGTTTATTATCTTCCTGCATCTCGTCTCAATCCTAAAGAGAAACTAGGCTACTACATGGGTTCATATATATTCACCTTGTGAGTTACCTTTGAACTGCAGTTCTAAAGGATCTACCGACCACAAAAACAGCGGGGTGCGCGCCGGCCGCACCGATGAGGTGCGTCACCGGAGGACAAGGTGATGCGCCCCGCTCCACAGCAGCAAAACACATCAGGCACAAATAAAAGACAGAAAACATAAAAGGAAATGAGCCGACATGAACAATCGCGTGTTAAATTAGTTTTTGAGGTGCCGACACCTAATTTGATGTTACTGTGGCCGTGCTCAGGATGCAGATGTCTGGAGCACGTCAACAATCAGAGCTTTGCATGCGCAAGCTGGTTAAGATTAGGATGGGGGTGAGGGGAAAGTTAAATTGCAAGAGGGTAAAGGTTACAATTTGGTTAAATGTCCGTTGGCGGGTGTCAGTGCCGACACTCTGGCACAGCGCGTTGCCTCCCGACGCGCAGGAGCTCCTCACCTGCTGTCTTTTCCGAGGACTGCATCTTGCCGGTCATTATCACGTGACAGCGACTAGTCGATGACAGGCATAAAAAGTCACTACAGAGCTGTGAAGTCGACTAGTTGACTAGTTCATACAACCCCTAGCGTGCACCCCAAGCCCCCACAATGCGGGTGAAAAATTGAAGCAAACGCGGAAGTGAAATAAATTGCAGTTCCACCCTCATCCGCTGGGGGCTGGTGTCAGAAGCGAGCAAATCCTCTGTAGCATAGCTACATAACTGTTAGAACAAGAAATAGGCCCTTCAAAATAAAAGCATTTCATTCAAACAGGAAGTTGATTAAAATGGATTATAAATGAAGGCAAGTTGTGCCAAATTAAAATACAAGCAAAAGAAGATGTCATTTTAGGGTTAGTTACACTCCCACCAAAATTATGAATGACTGGTTTACATAAGAAGAAAAATGAAAAATGTTCTCAAACAAAATGACCCAAGAAGAACTTAAGTACTTTCTAACACCAAAACAAGTTTTTGTACTGGACGCGCTACAACTGATAACTTATTAACTCGTTGACCTTTGTTGTTGAGTCTCTTTTCTCCGAGGGAGATCTTTACTTTTCGAACAAGTCCATCCTTTCCATTGACAGTCTCTAGAACTCTTGCAAGTCTCCATTCACCTCTAGGCGCTAGTTCATTCATGTCCAACACAACATCACCAAACTTTAGATTCCTTTTGGGTGTGTGCCATTTTTGCCTTGAAATTATGTCGTGAATGTATTCCCATCTCTAGCGGCTCCAGAACTGTTCAGCAAGGAACTGGACACGCCGCCATCGTTTCCTGCAATACAGGTCCTCCTTGTGAAAAGTGCCAGGTGGGGGCAGTGGTGCGTTGGATTTCATGTGAAGGAGATGGTTTGGTGTAAGTGGTTCTAAGCTGTCAGGGCTATTAAGATTATCTATAATCAGTGGTCTACTGTTGACTATAGGCCATGGCTTCATAGAATAAAGTTCTTAATGAAGCACCATTGAGTCTACTTTGAGCCTGTGACAGAGTAGTGTTCAAAACACTTCTGACAGTCCT